ATTATCTTAGATTTTCTTCACCTACAAATGTTTTTATTTTACCTTCATTCCTGAAAGGTTCTCTTTTCACCTGATATAGAATTGCAAGTTGATAGGTGTTTTTTGTTTTGTTTTTTCCCGCAGGTCTTAAAAAATGTTGTTCCACTTTTCTGTGGTCCCCATGGTTCTAATGAAATAACTACAGTATTTGAATTTTTAATCTTCTTACAGTAATGTGACCTTTTCCTCTGGTTGTTAGGACTTTTGGTTTTGCAGGGGGTAGTTTTCAGCAGTTTGATTATGATGTTTCTTGGTGTGGGTTCCTTTGTTTTCATTTTCCCCCTCTTTTAGACCTCTTTCCTAAACAAACAGAACTATTATCCAAATCTGGTGATTATCAGACCCGTTATTTTAAAATATATTTGCTACATGAATATGTACCCTCAAACATATGTAGACATGCATGTACAGATACCATTATGAAGATACCTTAATGTGACTGATATGCTGTTGTGACTTGCTTTTTACACTCTGCCTTATGTTTCAGAAGTGTTATCTATGTGCTGCCTGACACTTAATTTCTTTACAGATCTTATCTCATTATGTGACTGCATCACAATGTATACATCAGTTTTTCTGTTGATAGACTTATCTGTTACTTGAACAATCTTTGGCTAAACATTCTTGTACATATATAATTCCTGGTACTCGTGGACAAGAAATTTTCTAGGGGTCACATACCTCAGTACAGGATTTCTGAGTCATGTTTCCTCTTCTGAGAAATTATCTTTTCAAATATCTTTCCTGTTTCTTTCTTTTCTTTTTTTTGGTACGTGCCTCTAGCGGGAACCAAACACGGGACTCTTTGGTCCGCAGGCCGACGCTCCAATTGCTGAGCCAAACCGGCCAGGGCTCTTGTCCTGTTTCTTACTGGGTTGCTTTTCTTTTGGTTTTGAAAGATTTTTTTAGGCATACTAGACACTCATTAATATATACATTTATATGGTATCACAAATTTCTTCCAACTTATGGTTTGCTTCTATCTCTTTATCTTTAGATGTGCAGTATTAATTCTATGCAATAAAATTTTACATTTTTTCCTTCATAGTTTGTAGATTTTGTTACTGTTTATTTGAGGTAATTCTGTATGAGTTACCTTTGCTATGGAAAAGATATTAATCTTTTGTCTTATTTATGCAGCATATATTTCTACAGCATTGTCACTGACTTTTTTTTTAGCTTTCTTACTAAACATCCCAAACATAAAAGTATAAAAACAACAGAACCCTTATGTGCCATTCATTTAATTCCAACAACAACTCATGGAAAGCTTTGTTTGGGCCATGCACTCGACCTCTCTCTGCTGCCATACTGTTTTCAAGCACCTCCCACCCATAAAACCAGCTCATCCATCAATATGTCGGGATGTAACTGAAAGACGAAGATTACATTTCATGCATAACAACAATACCATTGTCGCATTGTACAAATGAGTAATTCTTTTATGAACCAAATATTTAAGCACTGTTTAACTAATATCATGAATGCCATAAAAATATTTTGATTTTCTTTTGAATCTACGTTAATGCACATTGCAGTAGTTTGTCCTATACATCCCTCTACCTCTCTGTCGCCCTCTTTTTATAAATTACAAGGTATTTGTTGAATACACTGCTCTGCTTGTTCTGTTGAACTCCTCACAGACTAAACTTTTGCTGATTGCATCTATATAGTATAATTATGTATGTTATTTCCTCTGTATTTTCTGTGAAATATTGATTGGAGAAATATACTTTCAGGTGTTTTTGTTTTTTAGCAAAACTGACTTAGAGATAATGCTGTGTCTTCTCACCAGGAGGCATATATTTCATTGTCTTTCTCTTTGTGATGTTTGTAGCCATTTACACTCAAAATCTAGATTTAATAATTAATTAGGAGCTGCAAGATTGGAATGTTTTAAACTCTATCATTCCTGTTTCATAGATAATCTGGAATATCTCTATAAAAAGAAACTTCCCCTCAACTACTGTTTGGTTACACTATAGTATATGATGCTTAAGAAAAGCAGACTGATGCTTAATATTTTACCTTCTTATCAGTTTTCAATATAAGGAATGGTTCAGTAGCATCCTCCAACATCAAGCAATTATTTTTTTGTGTCATGAATTTGTGTATTTAAGTAAATTTGATGTGCTTCAATACGTTGCTGTTATTACATTTATTAATGCTGAGATTGTGACAGCTCTGGCCCATGGGAGTCCCATCAGTATAACACTGAGTCCTTTGTGACATAACCCTAATGATTTTTGATAGCTTCTTTGCTATCTGGAAAGACAGGATTATACAAGCTTATGTTGTATACCTTCAACTACTTTAACATTGAGTTTTATTGGCATCTCTGAAAAGATCAAAGTGACCGTATATAGATGGACCTATTTCTGGACATTCTCTTTGGTTTTATGGATCTATTTGTCTGTCTTAAAGTGATGACAGTATCCTCTTAACTACTGTAGGTTTATAATTAATCTTGAAATTTGGCAGTTTGAGTTCTCCAACATTTGTTATTTCTCAAGACTGACTTACTTCTCTAGGGCCTTTGCACTTCTGTAGAAATTTAGAAGCAGCTTTTCAATTTCTACAACATAGTCTACTGGGATTTTATTTAGGTTCACCTTTCATTTCTTTTTCTTTCTGGACCTTCAGGATAGTGTTAAACAAAATGGTGACTGTGTACATTCTAATCTTGTTCCAAAACTTAAGGGAAGTTAGAATATTAGCTCTAGACCCTTGAACATAGCTTTATCAGAGAAAGGACTTAGCATAATCTTCTTGGTTCACTAAGAGGTTTTGTCATGAATGGATGCTAAGTTTTATCACATATTTTTCGTGCATCTTTGAGATAATGCTCTAAATTTTCTCCTTTTTTCACTTAATGTGACCAATTATTTTGACTTATTTTTTTAATTATTTATTTATTTTTCCTTGAACATTTATCACCTCTATGTCCTCTTCCACCTCTACCCCCCACCCTGCAATCACCTCACTGTGGTCCACATCAATAAGTACTTTGAATTATTTTTGATTGTTAAACCAACACTGCATTCTTATGATAAACCTCATTTATTCAATATACATTATCTTTATTATATATTATTTTCAGCATATTTTATTTATAATTTTTTTATCTTTGCCCAAAGGGAATATTGACTGAGGTTTTCTTTTCTTGTAATATCTTGCAATGATTTTAGTATCACAATGATCCTGGTCTCCAAATACGATTTGGATAAGACATTCACTCCTCTTTTTTTTCGATTTTTTGGAATTGTTTGTGTAGAATTATGTGATTTCTTCTTAGATATTTGGTACAATTCAGAAGTGTAGTCACATGAGCCTGGAGTTTTCTTTGTGGAAATGTTTTTAACTACACATTTAATTTCTTTAATACATACGAGGTTCTTCATACTATCTATTTATTCATGAATGAAATTGGTAGTTTGTACTGTTCTAGGAATTTGTCACTTGCATATAATTTTTAAAATTATTGCCATCGCCCTGGCTGGTTTGACTCAGCGGTTAGAGCGTCAGCCTGCGGTCCAGAGAGACCCGGGTTTGGTTCCCTCTAAGGGCATGTACCTCGGTTGCAGTTTGTCCCCGGCCCTGGTTGGTTGTGCGGGTGGCAGCCACTCGATGTGTCTCTTTCGCGTCGATGTTTCTCTCTCTCTCTCTCTTCCTCTCTCTCCCTCCCACTCTATCTGAAAAAAAAAAAAAAAATGAAAAAATGTCCTCGGGTGAGAATAAAAAAAACATAAAAGAAATAAAATAAATAAAATAAAATTATTGCCATACGTTTTCATAGTGTTCCTTTATTAGTATTTTCAGTATTATCTGTGAACTCTGTTGTGCTGTCATCTCTAATTTTTCTGATACTAGAAATTTGTGTCTTCTCTTTTTTCTGATCAGTCTGGCTTATACCTTTTTTAACTACTCAGATTCAGCTGTTAGTTCCATTTTTTTTCTCATTTTTCTATTTTATTTTTACTTTGATCTTTACAATTTCCTTTCTTCTGCTTACTAACTATTAACAAGATGTGGAAGAAGTGAAACGCTGATGCGCTGTTAAATGGTACGTAAAATGGTAAAACCACTTTGGAAAAGAGTTGGCATTTCTTAAAAGTTAAACACATACCTACCATATGAACCATTTATCCCACTACTAGGTATTTACCCAACAGAAATGAAAACAATATGTCCACACAAAGACTTGTGTATGAAAGTTCATAAAGGTTTAGTTGCAAGAGGCTAAAATGGTAAACAACCCAAACAACAGGGAATGGATAAAAACAAAGTGACATCTGCATACACTGGAAGTCTCAGGAAAAAAAGGAACAAATTATTAACACATGTGACATTATGTTGAGTGAAAGAAGCCAGGTAAAAAATAAGACTACAGACTATATGACTCCATTCATACAGAATTCTAGAAAAGCCAAGATAGCCTTGTGTGTGAAAGGTAGAGACCCGTGTTGTCAAAGGTTGGTAGAACAAAGATGGATGGATTACAACGATGGGTGAAAAATCAATCCTTTGCAGGTATTGGAAATGTTATTTTGATATCAGTGATGGTTTCAAAGTTGTAGATATTGAAAAGTTGACAAAACCATTCAGTTTAAATAAGCAAAGTTTAGCTCTGGCTGGTTTGGCCCAGCGGTTAGAGCATTGGCCCATGGACCAATGAGTCGCAGGTTCGATTCCGGTTGACATTTACCTGGGTTGCAGTTCATCCTGGGCCCTGGTTGGGGTTGTGCAGGAGGCAACCAGTCGGTGTGTCTCTCTCACATTGATGTTTTTTCTCCCTCTCTTCCTCTCTCTCCCTCCCACTCTATCTTAACAAAAATGGAAGAACATCCTCAGGTGAGAATTAAAAAATAAAATAAATAAGCAAAGTTTATTGTATTTCAATCATACTTCAATAAGTCATTTTTTAAAAATCTACAGTGTTTTTTTCTTTCATTTACTTTTAGAACCCACAACAAATATTCAACAATCTCCAAGTTGTTCAAAGAACATTGTCAAAAAATCAGCAACTACAGTTCTTTGTCAAGCAAACATACGAGATAATGGTATTGAACAAAAGGTATAAAATTATGTCTCAAATTTGTACAGTGATTATTAATTTATCTAGTTAATTTTCACCTCTATGAACTCTTTCACTACCAGCATGGTACGGATTGGTTAGGAATATTAAGGTCTCTTCATGAGATCTGATCCCGTTCCCTAAGTGCTGAATTACCTATGGGCTATACTCATATAATTTAGCAGAAACTAACCTGAACAGACATTTAGCAATTATAATAATAATAATAATAATAGCAGGTAATATTTATTGAGCACCTACTGTTGGCCAAACTCTGTGCTAAGCCAGAGGGAAGGGAAAATGAGAAAAAGGGGTCACATGGGGTATAAAGATAAATAGGACAATCACTTGAGAACTCATTGTCTAGTAGGCCAGAGAGACACAGTAAAATGTTTTAACAATAAAATGAGATCCTGGGATGATAAATTTTATTTTGCTTCTAAGCTATATCAAGCATTAGATTGTTAGAATAAATTGGAGTATCTTGCCCTGAAACAAACTCTGTGATTCTAAACTTTTAGAACCAAATATGAAATGGACTCCAAGCTTTAAACAAAATATGGAATATTGGAAGAAGAACAAATTTGTACATTGTTACATACTGAACTCAATTTCAAAATAGTTAAATTTGAGATCCCTGTGAAAGGTATCCTAGGAGGTTGGGAAGATGGATTGTCCCTAAAACAATTTTCCTGAGAGACTTAGGAGATAAAGGGTAGGAAAAAAAGGCCTATATTGGTTGATAGAAGGTAAAATATTTTTCACAAGTACAGTTACTAATAAATGTTTTTCTCTTTAATGTTGTACCACATAGAAAAATGGATTATATAAAAAAACAAGTATGTACGATGATAGAGGTAAGAAAATGAAAACATTCATCATTTTGTTGTTTATTAAGAATATGATTATGGTTTCATCATAGTTTTTCAAGCTATTTGTTTTACCTGATTATAAAAATCATGGTTATCTTAGAAAATAAAGCATGGTATAACATTATATATTATTACATATGTTATAATTCGCTCAAATATTTGAGTAATTGCTTGATGAGTACAGCTTTTGAAATTTGCAAAGGGTGGAAGTTAGGCTCCCTGCTGTAGCTGTTTATAGTGACAGGTAGAGTGATTGCTGACATCATGGTTCAGTAGGTTACAATAAAGAAATCTGTCCCAGGAAGGTCCATTTGGGGACCAGTGCCATCAATTCCCCATAGACAATTCATCCTATTTCCCATATCCCCGTGAATGCAATGTATATGGACTAAGATTTTACGTACTTTTATATGCCTTGTTAGATTTCTGGACATCACTAAAAAGCTCCTTCCTATGCATATCCCACATACACACACAGAAAATCACACATCTCCATCCAGTGGCCAATGACCACCTCAAACTCAATACAAAATCAAATTCTTCATCTTCCTGATCCTTCTATTTTCACCTAGAAACAAAACCTGAGTTATCTTTGACTCTTCTTCTTTATTGTACTTTGCATCCCAAAGTTGCCACTTCCTGTCCAATCCACTTTCTTAATTTGCCTCGCCCTCCTCTTTCCCCTTCCCACAGCTTCTGCCCTTGGTTCCTCCATCCTTTACAATTTTAGTGCCCCTCTTCCAGCATCTTCCTCCTATTTTTAATCTACCATGCATTTGCTATGAAAGAATTCTTCCTAAAAAAAAAAAACAGCTTTGGTTATTCAAGTTGTTAGTGGTTTTTCATTGCAGATTGAACTAAATGAAACAGTTTCTCTGGCCATGGTCTCTGGTTAGCTACTGGGATAAAGCTGATCATAATATTAAATAATTTAGGATCAGAGTTAAGTCTTGTCCTAGGAACTGATGGTGAACCACTGGAAATGTTGGAAATGTGTAGTCAGTGATCATCAAAAAGGGTCATGCTATCCTTTTAGACACTTCTTTAATGCAAATAAATCCCCTATTGTTTTAATTCAGTGATTGTGGTAGCTCAGCAGGGAGAACATGGATCAATTCTATTCATCAATATTCACCCTTGTTTCAGCAATATATCTTCTCATATTTAAGAGTATCTCTTCTTTTTCTAGGAGGTATGTGCATCTCAGCTCAAGATCCATTTATTCCAGCTCAACCTTCACCCACAAGAAATTTTCCCAGATCTTCACAGTCTTATATGGGTCCTACAAAAGTTGAGGTATACAATATTTCTTTTGCCCCGAATGCAAACAGAATTAATGAAGTACCAACTTAAGATCATCATTGGTATAAAAAAATTCATTCATAAAGTGACCATGCAGAACAGCTTTATGCCCTGAAATTCATCATGCCATAATATATTTAAAATATATGTTTTTCTTTATTGATTTTAGAGAGAGAGAGGAAGGAGAGAGAAAGATAGAAACACCAATGATTAGAGAACATCAATTGGCCACCTCCTGAAGGCCTCCAACTGGGGATTGGGCCCACAATCTGGGCATGTGCCCTGACCAGGAATCGAACCGGCAACCTCTTGGTGCATGGGTCGACACTCAACCACGAAGCCACAACGGCTGGACAATCATGCCATGACATTTTAATAGCTCTAGGATAGCCTTCCTGAAGTACAAAAAAGTTCACAGAATGTACTTGTAGCCGTAAGAGGAAGTATCAAATTGAGTTTCTTTGACTGGCTTTGACTAGTACTGATAAATTGTTCAGAGACAGCCACACTATCTCACCCAATTTGCTTTGACCAGTGATCAAGTTACCTGCTGTTGGAAAGTCACCAGCAAAGATTCAGGGTTCGGCTTCTGGACATAATTATTTTCTCTATCGCTTGCAACCTTGTTACTATGAGTGAAATCACATCTTCCTTTCCATTAGTAGCACAGTATTAACTGGTTCAACTGTGCTGAAGAGGTAACATGGTTTGAAAGAGATTTCAGTAAGCTGGAAATTTAAATTCTTTCCAAATGAATTATACCTGATTAGGGTGAAAAGTGGTATTATTTTTGGTGTCATCTAATGCATAATATATAGTAGACTACATTATGCATCACTTCCAAAATGTAGTGTGATTATTATTATGCATATTATGGTATGCTTCTCTGTAGTGAAGTTTTATTATAATTAAACAGTTTAATGTTCAATGTTGTACATCAACATCTACATTAAGTATGCTGAGTCATAAAAATATTTCTTAACACCTTTCACATTTAAAGTTCTCAAATTGCCCAACATATTTCTAAAGCTTTGTCCTTTACTAAAAACCAAACAAAAGAATTCCTTTATAAACAGTGTCTAAATTTTATAACTGAGTTTTTTTGAGGTAATGTGTGTATCATTAAATTATCCATTCACATTGATCTTAAATGAGTATCAAATGTCCACAAACATCTAATTTATGAGAAATAGCATTTTATTAATGTAATTATTCAGCCTGTTGGAAACAGGCTACCACTGTCAGACAATGTATTTCTGGTGTCCTATCTTCATCTTTCAAAACTTGTAAAATAAAGAAAAAGAGAGAGAGAAGTCTATTGCTCTGGATTGACCTCCCTGATCAGGTTGAACTCTTGGACAAGTCTAGAGAGTTACATCCCTTTGCATTCAGAGAACCTGTTCCAGCTCCACTTACTTCTCTATATTACAAGCTTTATTTAAAAAACTAACCTCTACTTTTATTTCACTGAGTTATTTAACTTCCTTACTGATCAATGCACTCCAGAGACAGTAAATTTTAGAATACTAGTGCATACTATTGTGCAGGAGAGTCAACATAGCAGGCTTCAGACTACTGCTTCTAGAAGGGCCTGCTTGCAAGGCTGGCATCTGGTTAGCATTTTGGAACTTGGCTTTTGTAACATCCCCCACCTGACAGAATTCTTCCTAACTGAACAGGTGGGGCACTGTACCTAGACTCTGAAAAAAATGTAATTTTTGCTGAACATGCAATTACATTTGGGAGGCTGGAATTTTGGTATGCACTAAGGGAGGGGTGTCTTCTTGACCAGCCTTCAATAGAAACCTCGAGTGCTAAGTTTCTAATGGATTTCCCAGGGTAGAAGCATTGCACTCATTTCTGCATTTTTTTATTGCTGGAGAAAGAACATGCTCAAGGATGTCCTCCCATGGGAGAGAGAGCCTATGCATGGATTTTCCCATACTTATAGCCTGTGTCTTGTTCTATTACTAATTCTATAGTGTAGCCTTTTCATGTAACAAATCTTAGATGTGAGTACACATATATTCTGAGTCCCATGAGTCTTAACAAATCACCAAATGTGAGTGGTCTTGTGGAATTCCTATGATCCAACTATGAAATTTTAAATTCTGTAAATTATAGATGGAATATAAACAGTGCAAAATGTGTATACATCTTAAAAATTGACATGTAAGGGAAATTCTCAAAATCTTAAATTTTTGTCATACACATACACACACACACACAGGCACATACATACATACACACATATATTAGTAGCTGATGCTCCAGTCCTTCAAATCCTGGGGCAAAAATCATTTCAAGATGTTTGTTTTGTTGTTTGGATTATACAGAAGGAGATAAACAGTGACTGGAGTAAAAGACAAAACAAGAGATCAAGCTACATCTGTGAATCAGGTAAATATCAACAACAGCTACTAAGTACATTATGCAAACTTTTAATTTATTCTTTCAACTAACATTTATTGAGCTCCTGACTCATGCCAGGTATGGTGCTGAATACTGAATGAAGGAAACCCATGGTTCTTACCCAGGGCTGGTACAGTGAAGTGAAGAAATAGCCATGCCAGTAACCACAACACAGTATGATAAGTGCAATAAAGACAACAGACAAATCAGAGCAAGTAGAGAGAAGACAGTGCCTAGGTCTACCTAGGGTAGTCAGGGAAGCTTTCATAGGATAGACATATTTGAGACATACTATCTTCCCAATTCAAAAATAAATTGTGCTTGCCATAGTATAAATTTTCATATTTTTACATTGAATCTCCTTTATTCTATTAATAATGTTGATTTTTTAAATGCATTCCAAACTTTTATTACTTTAAGTAATAATATTTTTGTTGTTGCTGTTAATTCTCAACTGAGGATTTTTTTTCCCACCAATTTTTAGAGAGTGGAAGGGAGGACGGGAGGAAGGGAGGGAAGAAGAGAGCGAGCGAGAGAGAGAGTTTATGAACTGTACAATAACTTATTCTACTACTCATCACTGGATTTTTCCAGATATGAGTTGACAAAGAAATTTTTTATGAATTGTAGTGTGTGTGTGTGTGTGTGTGTGTGAGAGAGAGAGAGAGAGAGAGAGAGAGAGAGAGAGAGAGAGAGTTTTAGTGGATATATATCTAAGAATAAACCTTTGGGTTATTATGTATGTATCTGTATATTCAATTTTGGTAGATGATGCTCAAAAACTTTCCAAAGGGGTCACAGCATAAATTTTTATTATCAATTAGTGAGAGATCTTATGATTTCATATCCTTCCTCTTAGTGTTTTAATATTTAATTTTAGCCATTCTGGTGGGTTGGTATCTCATTGAGGTTTAAATGAACATTTGTCTTATTATTAATGAAGTTTCATATCTTTTTTTTTTTTCTTTATTGGTTTTAGATAGAAAGGTAGGGGGAGGGAGGGAGAGAGAGAAACATCATTGAGAGAGAACATTGATTGGCCGACTCCTGCACGCCCCACACTGGGAATCTGGCCCACAGCCTGGGCATATGCCCTGACTGGGAATTGAACTGGTGACCTCTTGGTGCATAAGTAATGTTCAACCACTGAGCCACACCAGCTGGGCGAAGTCATATCTATATTGGCTATTTGGAGATCCTGTTTTTTGATGGTTTCACTTAAGTCTCTATCCTATTATGCCTCTGTTTCTTACTGATTCATAAGCAGGTTTTGATACATTCCAGATAACGAATCATTTGTTGGGTATGGTAGCGTAATTATATTCTCACACTAGATGCCTTTCCTTTTCTCTTTTTTATTATGAATTTGAAGAACAGTTTATCATTCACATTATCTTATTTTTGATTTGTTATTTCCCTCTCCTATAAAAGAAATCTTTCCTAGACAGTCTGCATAGAGATATTCCTTTTTTTTCTTAAAATTTTTTGTGTGAAAAATGTAAGTTTTACTCTACTAGCAAATTGCAATTATGCAATACAGTATTATTAACTACCAACATTATGTTATACGTTAGATCCTCAGACTTTACTCATCTTAAAACTAAAAGGCTGACACTTCACCAGCCTTTCCCTATTTCCTTCATGCCCTGCCTTGGGCAACCGCCATTCTACTCTCTGTGTCTATGAGTACTACATAAAAGTATTTGTCTTGTCTGGGTTATTTTAGCTAGCATAATGTTCTATAGGTTCACCCATGTTGTCACAAATGACAATTTTCCTTCTTTTTAAGGACAAAAAATATTCCTGAGTGTGCATATGTGTGTGTGTGTGTGTGTGTGTGTGTATGTATACATACACACACACACACACCACATTTTCTTAATGCATTTATTTCTCAACAGATACTTAGATTGTTTCCATATCTTGATTATTGTGAATCACTGCTGCTGTGAACATGGGAGTACAGATATCTCTTCAAGATAGTGATTTCATGTCTTTCGGATATATACCCATAAGTGGAATTGCTGGATCTACCTTTAATTCTTGAGAAACCTCCGTATTGTTTTCCATAACACCAGTTCGCATCCCCAACAGTAGCGTACAAGGGTAACCTTTTCTCCACACCCTGGCCACCATTTGTTATTTCTTGGCTTTTTGATAATGACCATTCTAACAGGTGTAAGGTGATATCTCATGGTTGCTTTGATTTGCATTTCTCTGATGATTAGTGACATTGAACATCTTTTCATATGTCTGTTTGGAGACTCTTAGTTTTAATTCCCCATCTTATTTACCACTGATGACTTGTTTTACATCTCTGAGCCATCATTAAGTTTGCTGGCATGGCCAAGGCCCGCAGGACAGGCATCAGCTTCAACACTTGCTTACCACTCCAGATCTGTGCCCTCCTGAATTTTTAACTCTCAGGGATTTATCTTACCTCCTTGAAGCTTAGCTATTTTTAAGAGGATGGCTGTAATGTTTTATATAGAATTGTAGGCATACATTGTTTCAGAATATTTACTCCAGTATATTAGAAACTGCAGAAATTTTTAAAATTTTGCTTTTAAGATAGAATTGTCTTCATACTTAATTTCTCAGGTGTCTGTACTCTTTTTCCAGTTGCTTCTTCTCCAGAACTGAACACACACAAAAACATATTTACACAAACCAACTCAAAAAGTTTCATAGGAGTTAAGTATGTCTTTTTATACAAATCATGGGCACCTATGAGTCACTCATTTATGGAAAAAACAAGTGTTAACTTGACTTTGAACTGACTCTAATTACTAAGACTACTTTCTATAACCAGGACATTCTTTGGTCTAACACCTGTATCCACCTGAGCATTTGCATGATCCACACACCAATCCAGTGTGCCTGTGGAGATGTTCTGCACAAACACTTCCTAGTCACCTGCACCCAGAGTATCTGCTAACATCCAGTAATGCAATCTTGCCAGATGACATACAAAGCCTGTTAGACAATATTTCAGTGGGAAAAGATTCATGTCAGAAAAATCGATGAGTAAAAGTTGAGGACACATATTAATTATGTATTCAACAAATAAACATCATTAAATATTTAATATGTATTAAGTTCTGAGGATAAAATGATACATTTATGTTACAGCCAAGGAGACAAAAGAGTAAACACTTAATTACAATAGAGCATTATGAGTTTTATAATATAGACATATAGAATACTTTAGGAGAAACAGAGAAGTATATTTACTTCCTTGGGCAAGTTTGGAGGAAGGCTTGCTGGAAGACTTAACACAGCTGAAGGAGACCAAAAAAAGATGAGAAGTTCAAAAAAGGCACAGGGCTCCCTAGACAAAGCAAACAGCAATAACGAGGGCCCAGAGGCACGGAAAACATGGTGCCTTTAGGAAATTATAAGTTATTCTATGTGTTTAAACCACAGAATACATCTGAAAGACTAGCCAGAGAAGACATTGGACAGTTGGTAAGAACATCAGAGTGTATGATATATTTTATGCCTTGCTAAAGAATTTGGACTTCATGATAGAGAGTTTCTGCAGACTTTTAAACAATGCAGTGACAACAGAGAATAAACACCTACTGCAGGATACTAGTTACAATTTTACAAGTTGCTGGGGATGGAAACAAACTATAGCTTTCTTTTTCTGCTAATAGGACCTCAGACGCCTGCCGCAGCCCAGGATATTCTCCCTTCTCATGTTTTATCAAATAGGTAAGTATCTAAGGAAATTAATGTGTAATTATAAATTAATATTTTAATAATTACATGAGCTCTATTCAATAGTGAATGGTTATGTGGGATCCTTTGTTCTTATAGTTCTACAGAAGACAGTGAAAATTCAGTCTTTTGATGACTCTCAGCACTAAGCTTAAATTGTAAAGAGAAAGTGAGTGTTCCTTCTCTGTTTCCCTAGCCTCACTTTCCCTGTGTTCAGAGCCTTCGTGCCACTTTCAAGTATGTCCTATCATGACCTCTCCTCCTCAGCATCTGGACTTCTCCTTTAGCCCTGCTCCCTTTCAAACATTCACCATTCCGTACGCTTTTTCCAGATTATTGGCTACCGAAGGATGGTAAGTGAGGTTACCGTAAACATTAATGACTTAATCAGCTATTCCTCTTTTAAATTTATTGTATTTCCTGTATAACCCAAAATAATAATCTTTAATGATAGAAATTACTTGGAAAATAAATTTTAAGGACCTGAGGGTTTTCTTTCTTCAAACCTTGGTGGCCAAGGTTTTCTTGTTGGTGTTTCTCAACTTTAGAAGAGAGACTATTATTTTAGACCTGAAATTATCACCTTTAAAAAAAAACCAATATGCCATATCATGTCCAGAATACATACTTTACAAACCCCAAATATCTCTGAAATTGGGTAAAGTTAAGTGGAGTAAGGTGGCAAAAAGTGAGTTATTCAAACCAAGATTCCTTGGAGGAAGGATCTTGACTTCAGGACATCAGTTTGACTGACTTACTGAGGGTTCATAGAATACACAGCATTGTAATAGATGCAGAAGGAAGAAAACAGACCAGTCCAGTTTAAATAAATAGACAAAGGTGGAAGAATGATGAGCATGTGTACAAAATGACCATTTTTATTCACTGAAACATAAATACCTGCCTCTTTATTAAAAAAAAAAAAAAAGTCAAAGGAGGCTTATAATGAAGTTTTAATTCCTTCCTCTTCATATTCCTCCACCCAATGTTACAGAACTACAGAGTTACTTCAGTATTTTATAGCAAATACTGTGTATACTCTTTCATTCAGATTTTAGGTCAGCCAAGAGGAATAGCTCTATGCATGACCCGGAGCTGCTTCGTCATTCCCTGACAAATTGACAGGAATAGAACACCTTTAGCTGCACTCACCCAGCCTGACATCATGTCAGAGTACAAACAAAACACACCTACCAGCGCTTTGCAGTCCAACTCTGTCCATCACACACATGTCACATTCTTCTCCTGGTTTAACTTCACATTTCATGACTTTACTGTGGAATCATCACTTCCGTTCCACCACCCACCTCCCTCTCCACTGTTGCTTAATTCTATTTTTTATTTTATTTATTTATTTATTTTTATCCTCACTCGAGGACATTTTTCCATTTTTTATTCAGATAGAGCGGGAGGGAGAGAGAGGATGAGAGAGAGAGAGAAACATCGACGTGAAGGGACACATCGAGTGGCCGCCACCCGCACGATCAACCAGGGCCGGGGACAAACTGCAACCAAGTTACATGCCCTTAGCAGGAACCGAACCCGGGTCTCTCTGTACCTCAGGCCGACGCTCCAACCGCTGAGCCAAACCGGCCAGGGCTGCTTAATTCTAATATTTCTCATGTTAATATATATTCAGAAAGCTTTATAAAATGGACATGGAAATTTAGTGCCAATAGAATGAAAACAAAGCAAATATAAGCAGTGGGGGTAACCAGAGTTGCAAAAAATTAAGCATTGCACTTAGATAGAGTAAGTTCATATTACTGAGTGGAAGATGTAAGGAGTGACAGAGTAAGAAGGCAATAATCTGCTGCCCTACCAACTATGATCAGAAATTCAAAGTTTACTTCTTGGGTGACTTTAATAATCATTTATTGACATGGTTTGGGGAGAGGATATTATGAAAAAATTAGCATATATGACGGATAACTTGGGCAGCAATACATAAGAAAAACTGAAGGCAAGAAACTAGGACCCAGTTCTAAAATCCTGCCCAGCTGGTATGGCTCACTGACTGAGCGTTGACCCATGCACTGAGAGGTCAGTGGTTTCGTTCCTGGTCAGGGCACATGACCTGGTTGTGGGCTCAATCCCCATTTGGAGGCATGCAGGAGGTGGCCAATCGATGTTTGATGTTCTCTCTCATTGATGTTTCTATCTCTCTCTCCCTCTCCCTTCCTGTCTCTCTAAAATCAATAAAGAAAAAAAAAATTTTTTTAAGTTCTTTAGTGGCTTGAACAAAGACTTTATTTTGGATTGGAGAGCAGGCCCAAATCCAAAAGACTTTAAATGGGAATTTATTTATCAAACAATTAAGGAGAACCTACTATGTTCAAAACATAATGCTAGATGTTGGGCAGATACCACAATGAACAGTATGTCCCTGTAGTGGTGAGATGTTATTTTTCAAGGATACTCTGGAGCTGGAGAAAGGGGTTGGAAGTAGGGCAAGTTAAAATACCATGAATATCACTGTTCTTACCTAGATGAGACACTTTTCTTAAACAAATTCTGGCATGCTGAAAGTCTTTTTTTTTTTTTAAGCTTTTTATTTATTTATATTAATATTTTTTCTTCATTAATTTTAGAGAAAGAGGAAGGGAGAGGGATAGATAGTAATATCAATGAGAGAGAACATCAACTGGCCACCTCCTGCATGCCCCCCACTGGGGATTGATCCCACAACCTGGGCATGTGCCCTGACTGGAAATCAAACTGGCGACCTCTTGGTGCATGGGTTGATGCTCAACCAGTGAGCCAAACTGGCTGGGCACGGAAAGTCTTTAGTTAATTTTCAAAGTCCTGAAAACTATGAAAAACTTTACTATGAAACCTTTACTAAGAAATGATGAAAAGGAATTTTTCCAATTTACCCATTACTTTTACTGAGGAATACATTTTCAGAACTCCTTACTCTGCCATTTTTACTGATAGCCGTTATCTGGCTATTACAACTGTTTTTGAGTGGCCTTCAGTGATGTTTTCTCAGTTAATTGGTTAAATTTATTTCTAGGTCTTTGCTCTCTAACTAGACCTATATGTACACCTTTGGGGCAGAAAGCTCCTTGAGGACAGGTGTCAATCAATACACTGAACTCCTTTTGGTGCCCACGGTATAATGTAGAGAGAACAGAAAAATGAATATGGGGAGTTAGGTCACAGAATATCTAAGGAAGGTAACTATGGTTTGGTTAACCTAAGAGACCAGTTTCTGAAAAAATAGTGGCCAAAAAGTAGGGAACATGTCACTGACAACAGCTGTCATGCTCCAGGTTCCACATTCAAGAAGGCCTAGTCTAAGTACAGACTATTCAATCCCAATTTCTGTGCTGAAACCAACGAGGTTTTCTTTTTCTGCCAAGATTTAGGATATAATTCTTCATCTTAATGTTTCTCAAAATTGAATTTTAGGCTTTGGTAAAATCAAATTTCATAATGTAAAGTACAGGCATAGAATAAATGAAAAGGAGTGTCCATTTTCTCTGAAGAAAGTAGCAAGAAGATAAGCAAAGGGCCCATGTGAAGTATATAAAAATAAACCTCATATACCTGAAATATATGAAAGTAAACCAGAACTACAGTCCTAGATCTTATCTTATGAACTATTTGTTTTGTTATTCTATAATTTTCTTTATTGAGTGGTTCATTTATTTGTTTATTTGTTAAGAAAACTATTTTTTATATCAGTGTGTGGTGATCATTCTAATTAGAACACTTAACAGATTACTATCATACACAAAAAAGGGCTACGTTATCAGTTGTACTGAGTATAACTAGAAACCTGCGATTTTAACCATAGTTACTGAATAATCATCCACATACTCCCTTTCTACTATGTGATGAGAATGTGGGCAGGACTATGGAATTTGAAGTAAGTAGTTAATTATCAGAGCTCTGGTCAGATGCCTTGCCACCTCATGTCATTTAGAAGACAGAAAGGACTAGCCTACCCTCTCCCTCCAATTCTATGTCCTTCCTCAGAGACCCATAAAGCAGGCATGGATAAGGCAGGACAGAAGTAAAATTTTCAGACAGATGTATATTTTATGCAGTATGAACAGATGCATATTTTATTACTCCTCTAAGTAATAAAGCATGGGGGTCAGTATAGAAGGTGGAGGAGAAAGTGTGGGGAGGGGGTGACAAAAATAAAGTTCATTCTTCCTTTTGAATTTCTATAGAAAAACTCTTTGATATAAGGAGATGAAACTGATACAATGATTAGAAATTTTGGGAAAAGTTCCATAAATTTTGTACCTAAAGAAATAACTAAATGATCCCCCTTCTTGACTTTACAGGCAACAGAAACTCCTACAATACTACTTGCAAAAAAAAGTAAGTAGCATAAAATCCATTGATAAAGAGGCATATTCACAGTACTTTCTAATGTGTCATAATGGAAGAAATAATGAATCAAATAATGAGTAATTATCTACTGCTATCAGTCTCTCCCCTTGCCCCCTTTTATTCTTTAAAGTTTACTTGATTAATTCTTAGATTTTGCAATGGTCTAAAGTTCTTATAAAAAGATATTGTTGGCCTTTCAGGAAGAGGTCTCACGGGGACAGATTAAGAGTGGGCATTAAGGGACCTAGCCATTATACGAACAGCTTCAGAGAGCACAAACCCTTTCTTTCATGGGAAGCCATTAAGTGACATGGATTTGCCGACTTGGCTGGTAAACTGGGAAGCCTGGGTCTGTCCCTAGCTGTTGTCATAGGAAGGGAGATGGTCACCCAAGAAGGTCACAAAGAAAGATACCTGGTCTCCTATGAACTGACACATGGAACAGATAGATAGGAGGGCGTATTTGTAAGTCACAACTCTGGATCTGGTCAGACCAGCCAGGAAAGAGAAAGGGATTGCAGAACAACACATATTCGACATGCTTTTTCACATGGACACCTGTTCAATTCATAACGTGTAGCAAATACAAAAGCTTGGATTCCGTTTAATGTTATAATGGAATGCAACTGAAAACTAGATTCTACTTACCATATTTTACTACATAGAAAGTTTAGGAATATCTCTTTTTCATATATCAAGGTTGGAAACACTTCCTCTCACCTAGCCTAAGAATAACAATGTAGGTCTTTAGTTTATTACCTCTGATTATAAGAAAAATAATACATGTTGAATGTCCCATTTACATGTGTTGTAGTGGACAAGAATAACCACTTTCTCTGTTAAAATTGAGATTTTATTCTTAATGTACTTGATTTAAGATGTGATTATATGAGACAAGTATTACACAACATACACTGTCACCCTAAATATGTTGTACAATAAGTGAAAAAATATCTTTAGGAGATTAGGTGATTAGAGCAGAATAAATGACTTTCCCTGGGGTACCTCCAAACACTCTCAAATGCATCAGGAGAGAGTATACCACATAGGTGTTAACTTTTCTTTGAATGTTGGCCTGAAACATGAATAATGCCATGCTAACTTAAGGCTATATGTGAACAGCCCATTACATGAATCCTACTGTGTACCTTGGTACCTACATACCAGCCTTGTACCCATTCGTGCCAATTCCTATTCATAGCCTTTATGTCTTAAAAGTAATAACTATTTTTAAAGTTTACTAGTTTATTATAGACGATAGGATTTTTGCAAGCCCAAAAATGGATTTTTGGTCAGTAGAGGTATATAGAATTGCACAAATGCACTTGGTTCTACTCTTGGTTCAGTTTAATTTTTGACAATACCACTGACCTATAAGAAAATGGTCAACCAAAGATGGTCCTTGGGTTTATATTTCCAGCTCAAAATTAGAAATTCTCCAAGTTCTCTGCCCTTGCTCAGCCCTCCTGAACCCTAAAGATCCAGTTGTACCCTGGCCCCTACTTGTTTCTAAACAAATGGTTCCTACATTGCATTATCTTTTTTCAGCCTTCCTGACCAAGACAGTTTGCAGTGATACTCTTGTTGGATACAAAGACATTTGATCTCCTCAAAGCATTAACCTTTTGTTTTCTACCAAATAATACTTTAAAAAAAATTTTTTTTTCCTTAATTGATTTTAGAGAGAGGACATGAGAGGGAGTGAGAGATAGAAACATCAAAGAGAGAGAACATCGACTGGCTGCCTCCTGCCTGCCCTCCAATGGGGATTTGGCCAACAACCTGGGCATGTGTCCTGATTGGGTTCAAACCGGTGACCTCTTGGTACATGGGTTGACACTCAACCACAGAGCCACACCAGCTGGACCTACCAAATAATTCTTAACAATCAGTTGTAGTAATTTACAGATTATAGGTTTATTCCTGCATGAGGGGAAAGGGAGGAGAGATGAAATATTTTCCATCCTTACATTTTAGCTAGATAGATGCTTTTAAAGGCACCCAAGTATTCTGAGTAGCTCTGTTTTGATAGATACTTGTTAGAAATAATCTGGTATATTTTTATAAATTTGCTGGGTCATAGACACTATGTTTCCTCTTGATAAAATACTTGCATGTTATGATTCTAGACAGCAATCTGGTTATTTTTTTTCTTCTTTAATCAAAAAGTCATATATCCCAGGAGTAAATGTTAGGGGAAATGAGTTCTGAGGGACTGTGACTCAAATGGGAACTTATATAAAAATATTTTATGGTAGTACAGATTAAACCAACTTGAAATTAATCTGAAATTCTAAATAGAATCTGTACATATTCTCTTCATAACCATATTGGTATCCAGTTATGCATTGCTTGATATAAAAAAATAAATGTTACCGTCTATCCCAGAATAGAATACGTTGCTACATGACTTTCTTTTCCTTCCTGCTTGCCTCCTTTCCAGGTAACTTCTGAAGAACTGAATAGTATAATTCAGAATATAATGACCTGGGTTGTGGCTACAGTGACCAGTATATTATACCCAGCCATTACAAAGTATGAAGAAAGGTTGCAAAATTATGCATACCCAGTGTCTGATGATTCTGTCATTTCTTCAGATAGTTCAAGTTTCTGTAGCACATGCAGTGAAGTGTTTACACTAGGAAGCTATCCATCTGCAACAACTAAAACATTTCAGGGAGAGCCCTGTGAATTCACTGTTGACACTTCAATTAGGCGACCACCTACACCTTTAAAACCAACTTCTACCCATGTGGAAAGAACAGTTGTTGATCAAACGTATCACATGAAAGGGCCACCTTCAGCCCATGTGGAAAGAACAGTTGTTGATCAAACATATCACATGAAAGGGCCACCTTCAGCCCATGTGGAAAGAACAGTTGTTGATCAAACGTATCACGTGAAAGGACCACCTTCAGCCCATGTGGAAAGAACAGTTGTTGATCAAACGTATCATGTGAAAAGACCACCTTCAGCCCATGTGGAAAGAACAGTTGTTGATCAAACGTATCATGTGAAAAGACCACCTTCAGCCCATGTGGAAAGAACAGGTGTTGGAAAAACATACCACATGAAAAGACCATCTAGAACACCTGAACTCAGACATACTAAAACCATCATGACATATGCACACCCTAAGCTCAGAAGCTGTAAATCTGATAGTAACCTTTTAGCACCATTTGCAACAGGAACAATAAAGTCTAAGGATGCTACCACTGAAACAGATGGCTTAGAGAGTTTACAGTTTTCTGATCAAAAAGCAAAAGCTGAAATAAAGAATTTAGAGAAGATTTTTGTTAAGCTTAAATGTCACTTAAAAGGGGAAACGGAATTGATTTTAGAAAGCATTTTTCAAGAAATAATGTCTGATTTAACACAAGCCATTCCCTCTATTTCTTCTGTTACTGCTGAAGTTTTTGTTGACCAAAGTGAGCCTGAAACAAGAGACATGCTCTCTAATGTTGATATCAGCGCTGTAGCTTCAGAGATTGTGGAAAATATGCTTGAAAAGCTACAGTGTGCCGTTGAGAAAAAATGTCTTCAGATGTTTTCACAAGAAGATTGGTCAGGCGACACGGAAACAAGCTTAACACCCAGTGGAGAATCTCTCACTCTATCGAGTGGAGAACCTTTGAGAGCTTCACTGCCTTGTGCTATGGAGCCCATGCGTGATGTTGCAGAGGAGATGGTGCATTCCATTTTACAAAAGCTGATGACTCTTGCATCTTGTAAGCAAAATGAACTTCCTCATCTCAAACATGCAACTAAACTTTCCTATCAGGAACACATGACAGACCCAACGTGCCTGTTCCTTAAGAAAGCTGACAAAAAGAAATGTGGTCCTGAACCCGATGCAACCAATTTAATTGTTAAAGAAGAAATACAACATTTAGTATCAAATATTCTTTCCCAGTCCTCTATGGTTGGCTACATAGAGGAAGCAATCAGCACTATACTAGGCTTTGTGCAAAATGAACTTAACAATGACAGACTTGTGGCATCTGAAGAAACGGTCATATTCCTCCAGCTACTCAGTGATGTCTTCACTCAGCTACATCGGGAGCCAGCAAAAGCAGATGCTCAAGAAAGTAGACTCCCTAGACTGAGAAATCCTTCTGACACCGAAGAAACGTACAGACTTACTAGCACTAGGTTATCTAGTGGTCCTAGGTCTAGAAAACCATTTCCGCCCATTAATGTTCCTGGCATGGTTCTTTATTCTGAAGATGATAGTGAAGAAATAGACAAAATTGTGGAAAATGTGCTTGATTCATCTTTTAAAGATGTAAAAGCAAAATCACAAGAAAAGAATCCTGAACATAGGTTTACAAAAGGAAACACTTGTTTTGAATACAAAAGAAATAGCAAACCACCCACAAAGCCTGCTTCTCTAAGAAGCAGAGTTGCATTTTGTGATGGATTAAACACTGAGTTACCATGTATTAATAATAAAGAAATTTTAAAGGAAAACCCCTGTTGGAATAAAGACACTTTGATTTTCAGCCAAGATCAAAAGCATCACATACAAAAGGCTTCAGCAAACGTAGTTAAAACCATTTTAACAGAAATGTTCAAGGACATATCTTCTGTTCCTCCTGGTCACTTGGGCAGTAAAACTGGTACCAAAGCTTCAGTTCTTCTTTCACAAAAACCACAAGGACTGTCACTTCAAGAATGGATAGACCAGATGTTCTCAGTGTCAGAAATTAATACAGTGGCTCAAGAAATAACAGATGCTGTATTAAATATACTTCATAAGGCATCAAGCTGTATTCCCAATACCACCAAAACTTCCACTTCATCATCAGTTCATCACACTTCTCAAAATAGTTCTGATTCTACCAATATGGTCAAAACACCAAACAACAAACCATTAAATATATGGTTTGACAGCGAAAAGAAAGTGAAATATTTATCTTCACTCAACTTAGATCTTGAAAACCCTTCCTTGTTCAAGTCTGAAAACAGTGAACTTAAACCTGTAGATGACATTACTGATAACATCATCAATACAGTGTTTAAAAGGCTGAAGTTACTCATTTATCCAAAATTGCAAATGGGCTTCAAACCTTCATTTGTAGAGCAATCTTCACTATACTCTCAACTTAGTGCTTACACAACCAAGGTGGTGAACCTCGTTCTGCGTGCTGTCCAGAATGAACTTGAACCCTGTAAGAAAAACCCGACCCTTCAGGAAACAGACTGCACCAAATCCCTCACAGGGAAAGAATGTTTTGCAGACACTGATAAATTAGAATCTCTTGTCTCAAATCTCAATGATGACATTATGGCATCTCCATTATTAACTTGTATTTGGGAAATGCTATCAAGTGGACATTCAGATCAAAGCAGTATTTCACTCCCTTCAGATAAGCAGAGCCCTTCAACTTCATGTGGATCTGACAGTGTTGAAAAACAAAACACTTGGCCAAATAAGCAAGATACGAAACATTTTCGCCAATATTTAGCTACTCCATGTGTTCTCCACAGTGACTTTAATGGAAAAGTTAACAAAGACAATGCCAGATTTAAAGTGTTAGATAGTATTGCGGAAACACTGTATGAAATGTTATGTAAGCTCACAGGAGCTCGTCCTGATTGCCAGATATCTTCTAGTAAGCTAAACGGAGAGAAGATGAACAAGAATCAGCAGATGGCTACTAAATTGCAGTCTAATATTCAGCTCATTTCCAAAACAATTTTGGATTACATCCTTGAAAAACTGTGCAGTGCTGACATAGACACCAGTTCTGCAAGTTCTGGAATTAAAGCTGTGTCAGAGCCTCTTGACATTGATAGTCTATCCTTTAATTCAATTATTGAGGAAATGGCCAAATGCGCTGACGTAATCTCCAGCATAGTTTCCAGGATGGTTCAGGAGAGCAATAAAGAGGTAACTAAAACAAAGGCAGAAACTATTGCTCCTGTGTCTTCCAAACCAGGGGGAGCAAAAGTACTGCATCCAAATAATCTGATAGCTATGGCTTCAGATATTCTTAATATGGTTTTTGCTAAACTGGAAGGATTTGCTGATGGAAATTTAGAAACTCTGGATTCTATTAGTGATGGAAATAAAAAGAGGAATAAGATGGACTCAAAATGTGAAAGTCCCAGTGTTTTCAAAGACACAGCTGAACAACTATTGCAGTCTGCGTTATACATGCATGCAAAGAAGGTATCAAGCACTATTTTGAAAGTTATTCAAACAGAACTGAATATGAACTCATTAGATTTGAGGAGAAGTGTAAAAACCCCATCACCTAAGAAACAAATTCTTAAGAACATAGTTAATTTAATTTCAGATGCAGTATCCTCAGATGTGTTTAATGAAACCAAATCTGAAGAGAGAGACATTGAAACTTATCGATACAGACCAACCTATGGAAATTTTCTTCCTGGAGGAGCTGAATCTGATTCATTTCTAGATGCTGCTGAGAAAGAATTCTCAGAGAAAGAATTCCCTGGAGACAGAAAATCACCAAGAGAAGACTCTAAATCAGATTCTCTTAAACAGTGGGTTCTAGGAAGAACCTTAAACAAACTTGAAGTGAAACTGAAGGAACCACAGAAGTCTCCAATTGGTCCCATTATAAGAAATATTTTGAACAAAATTTTTAAAGATGCTTTGGTCAATCAATTAAATGTGCTCTCTTTCTCCGACTCTCATTTAAGAGGCATCCCTCACAATGCTGATGAGCCAATTGCTCAAATAACTGTTCCATTTATAGAAAAAATGATGGGTCCTTTAGTGTCTGAAGCAGATGTAACCATAGTGGTAGACGATGTTGTTACAACTGTATTTCACAAACTTTATTCAGCTGCCATGACACAGAGAAATGCAAGAGAAAATAGGTATAAAACCATCACCTCTTTAACAAATGTTTCTTTTCATGTACCCGCCTGTGCAGAAAAGTCCTCTGATATTGTGCTGGACAAGAATTCATGTACTGTTCAGTCCAGATTCAATCAGGCCAAAGTAAATGTAGCTGAAGATATTGTACAGGCAATATTAACAAATCTAGAAACTTTTACTATTTCCAAAGTGAAATCTTTTTATTGTCCCCAAATCAACTTCACAGTTCCAATGGCTTTATCTTTCCAGCCGCATCAGAGTATATTAAGTAAAGCATTATCAACCAAAGGTTTATATTCTGATGATCAATTTTCTAGCTGCTCATTGGACCATATAATATCAGAAAAGACCAACTCATGCCCTCTCTCTAATAAATTAAATACACATGCAACAGAAGTGGCCAGAAAAATTTTACAAGGAATTAAACAGGAGTTAGATAAGGAAAGGGAAAGTCCTTTCTTAACTCCTAACATTGTGGTTTCTGAAGGTATTGCAAATCAAATTGTTAACACAGTGTTAGATATTGTATCATCTAAAGGCCAATGTGACAAAAATAATTTTGACAAAGAGAGTAATTCAGATCAGCCAGAAGGTATTATTGAAAAGATGTTTAACAAGACTCAATATCGAAAAGAACTTCAGTTTCAAATACAAGATATCATTGAAGGTATCTTATGTGATATTTATGAAAAAACAATGTATCAAAATAATCTCTCATTTGCCACGCCCTCTCTGAAATGCAGCATAGCTGGTAAACATTCTGGAGCAAATTTGGAAATGTACATGGAGGGTGCAAATAAGCATATTCCAAAACTTTCCGTTCCTAAGTCAGATGTAATGGTGATGTCCAATGAAATGGTGGATATTGTTCTTCATAATCTCAGCTCTGCTGTCATGCTTGCCATAAAAGCAGAGGATCCCACTTCCGCAAGATTGCCCTTTACTTTTTGTGATATATTTCCACAAACAGAGTGTCAACTGCCTCCTCTTATGGGGTCAAAAAGTGGAAGACAAACAGAGTGTTTTTCATCTTTAAGAAATCTGAAATCAACTTATGCTGTTGATAGTCAGATAACTGTAGTAGAGAAAGAAGATACCAAGAAATCAGCTCCTGACCCATGTGAGGAAAATGCTCACTTCATTACCAGAACTATTGTTAATCAGCTACAATCTTTTGCCACAGAAAGAATAGATTCGTTAGTTACTCTTGCTTTACAGCCTAAAGAAAATTCACTTGTTAGTCCAGGACTGGAAAACTGTAAACAGGATGACAGCATTTATCATGAATCTAGTCAATCAGACTCAAATGTGAATGTCCTGAAATTATCAACTGAAACTATTAATAGCCAAGAACTCACAGATTCCACCTTTGCCAGTTGCAGAGAAAAACTTGGATCCACAATTCACATATCACAAGCTAGTCTTAAGGAATATGCTGACATCATTGCCAGTGTCATTTTAAAGCATATTAAAAATGACTTAGACCTAGAAATCCAAAAGGCATATCCACATCCAAACAATGTTTCATTCCAAGAAAACATTTTTGTGAGTGAAATTGTCAACAGTACCTTAAAGATTTTAAATGATAAAAGATCTGTAAAGGAAATTAACTTTAACTCAAAAGGCAATCCCAACCTATTTTCACAATTAACTGTACAAAAGGAAATACTGTTAGAAAAAAGAGAGCAGGAAAAAAATACCAATTTATCTCTTTATTCACCGTATCCATTACAACAGAACCAAATGACATCGGAAAAGATAAATCAGAGAACTATTTTGGAAGAAATATTTATGAGAAATGGAGAATCAAAACAAAATGAAAAAACTGCCTTGCTCAGTCCAGTGAAAGAAGTTTTAAATAAAGTATACCAATGTGTAATGGATATCAAAGGTAATCAGCCTCCAGTTAATGAAAGCCCCTACTTTGTATCTACTTCTAAAATTAAAACATCAGATATAACACAAAAATACCTTTTTCAATATACTATTGACAGTGTAGCAAATGAGATAGTTGAAATTGTTTTGGGGGAAATGTATGCTGTAGTTATGACATTGTTATACGAAAGTAACAAAAAAGAGGAAGCATCTGACAACAAAGATTTCTTACCCAAGAAGCCATCATGCACCAAAGAAACTAAACAGGCAGGAAAAGGAAGTAATTCCTCTACATATGTGATACCACAGGTTTATCCTTATATTGGCAATCAAAATATCTCTCTATTAGAAAACAGTTTACTGCAATATTCACCACTGCAAGTGGGGAAGGATTTAGTCCAAATGGTTCTCAATAAGATCACAAATCTTGCCTCATTTTGTCTGGAAGAGGTTTCATCCCCTGAAGGATGTTCTGATGAACTGCAACCTCTAAGGCTAGAGAGTTTTAAAGTGAGCCCTAAGGGCAACCCTCAGCCAGGCTTTAAAACAAATTTAAAGGAAAAATCAAAAGTTACTTTACCTAAATTTAGAACAAAAACACACCTAGGACCTAGTGCTGCTAAGGTCAAGAGCAAGATCAAGTTAGGTCCTGGAGAGAAGACTCTAAAAGACAGCAGGTCCAAGACTGCCATTGGGCTGCCACACATCTCAGCCACAGGAGACACCAAAGGCTTGCTAGGAACCAAACTGCCCACTTCAGAATTAAACATGCATGCCAAGCAAATAATAAGGGATATCCTGGAAACAACTGTGAAAGAATTTGAAAAGGTGAAGCAAACTAGAGCAATGGTCAGTGTGAAAGCTTTACCTGTTGATCAAATCATGGCAGCAAATAAAATAGTTAATACAGTTTTGCAGGGGTTATATGCTACAAATAACCACAATTTGGCTCATCCAGTCAAATTCCCACATCCGGATGATCTCAAACATTCACAGGGGACTATAGGTCCTGGGCGTCTTGCAGAAACACAGCCATGCTTTTACTTGGAAAACGTTTCTTCACAGCTAGAACAGATTTTCCCTAAAGACGGTATATTTAAAAAAATGTTTGACACATGGCAAGCAGAATCAAATGACATGGAAAGTGAAAAATGTAACTTGTTGATGATAGCTGAAAATGTTTTGACTGTAATTTCAAAAAAAGCAAAACAATTAGAATATTGTCTTTCCCTTGTCAATTTGCCAGCTCTTGAGGATTGTGAAGGTAGGTCTCATAATAGTTTTAAAGGAACTTCTACTGGAGCTGAGGATACCAATGCACAAATTAATGTGTTTGGAAGGGAAATTGTTGAAATACTATTTGAAAAATTACAGCTGTGCTTTTTGTCACAGATGCCCATCCCAGAGAGTAAAGAAACTCTAACAAGTAGAAAACAACACACTACAGAAAGTAAATACAGTCTTCCTACCAAGGACATTGTCAGCAGTGTACCAACCTATTACATGAATATACAAGACCAAATTTCCTTGGACTCTACCAAGCTAACTCTTCTAGAAATAGTGGAAAGGGTTTTAAACATGTTAGAGTCATTTGTAGACTTGCACTTTAAACATAACTCCAAATATGAGTTTTCCGAAATAGTGAAAATGCCTATAGAAAACCTTTTTCCTATCCAACAGGAACTGTTAAGCAAAAAGATGCTGCCAACGTTAGAATCACTGGAAAAGTTTTCTGATGAATCCAATACAAGTACTGTTATTTCCAAGGTAAATGTACAAAGTATTCTTTTACAGATTCATTCATTCCATTCAGAATTACTTACATATGCTGTTAATATCATCAGGGACATGCTTGGTGTTATTAAGAACAAGCTAGACAAAGAAATAAGCCAAGTAGAATCATCATCGATTGGCATATGGAATGAGAACATTGTAGCAAGTGAGATCATTGGCACACTGATAGACCAGTGTACTTATTTCAATGAGTCTCTGATCAAAAACCTTCCAGTGGAAAGTTCGTTCCCAAAAGTGGAAAATACTTACATTGTTAATCAGGTTGAATTGGCATCTAGTGTGAAAATTCCCAGGTCAAAGTTAAAGGAAGTTAGTTTCAGGAATAATCCTTCACAAAGTAGTATGTCTGGTTCGGTGTCTTATTCTGTTGAAGATAGCAAAACAGAATATAATGCGTCATCAAGTTTATCTTCATATGCCAGAGCCTCGATAGAAGACACAATTAAAAGCTCAGACCCCATGAAAAGGACTGGTTCAGAAAACACACCAGCAAGCTCTAGAAACAAAATAAAAGACAATAGCCCAAGGGAATGGCCCTTTGATCAAGCCATGAAAGGAAATAGCTCCCTTCCAGAAGGCAGTGTCTTACAAAAACTGTTTAAAAGAGCAAATGAATCCACAGAAGAATCACTAAAGCAAGGCTTGTCATTCATAGAGGTGGAAAAAAGTGAAAATCCAAAAGTGTTTTATTATGGGAACTTAAACCCAGTTGTTGGGCCTGACCAAACTCAGACCACTGTTTCTCCACTCAAAATATGTGTAGCAGCAGAAAAGATTGTCAATACAGTGTTGTCAAGCTCTGGTTTTCCAAGTCAACCACCCATTAATGAAAACATGGAAACAATGAAACCATTTTTCATATCAAAGCAAAACCCTGGAGGAGGAAAGAATGAGGAAAAAAGTTTGCTTACAGTGTGGGATGAAAGAATCAGCTGTAGACCTGAAGAAGAAAACACAAACTCTGAAGCCAGCAGGGGACATCTGTCTTTACTGAAAAAATGGGAAAACAGGAGGTGCCCAAACATAAAGACTCTGAAGGAACTCGAAGTCATTGCTTTTGCTGATCATGAACTGGGTCCAAATGAAATTAATTTGGTTGCAAGACATGTAACCACATCTGTGGTCACATATTTCCAGAACTTCAGAACTAGAGGTAAGCAAAAGATAACTTAGTTTAAAAGTTTGCATAACTCAGAAAAAAATAGTCAGACATGTTTATTTACTATTTTTCTGACAACCACCTTGGAGGTGGGGTATTTAGTACTTCTTAGTACATCAGAATACCAGAAAAAGAGAAGTTAAATATTCACATGGTTTGAACCTGAAAGTGTCTGTTGTTCAGTTTCCCATGTCTGCAGATGACAGAAAAGCAGGGTTGAGCATGAGGTATGAGTTCCAAAGTTTTTTCAAGTTCTTATGCATGACTTCTTTATACCAAAGCCACAGTTAATTGATTGAAGATTTGTGATTCATCTTCTCAAGGTGCACAGTGGAAGTCTTTGCCAATGTTAGTCACAGTTTTTGAGAGCAGTGGTATTAAACATCTTATTTTATTTGCAGTGCAGTATTCTTAATTTCCTTTTAGGTGTAATACTCTAAACATATTCTAACAAAGCTATTTTCACTCCCTTTCTAAGAATGCTTATCTCTGTATGTTAGGTTGAACCACATGTAATAGCTATTTTTTTATGTCCCAACCTGTTGAATATTGGCAATTTCATAAAGTTGAAGCTAATAATACTACACTAGCCCTGAACTGAATCAATTATTCCAGTTACCAGTAATTAGATGCTACATTACCAGTCCAGACACATCACCTGTCCAACATTCAAATATGAGAGCGCATACTACCAGTCCTAACACAAGGAGATAACAGAATCTCCGAACATAAACTAAATAAACTAAAGAAAAAGAAATCTAAGAAAAGGAGATTCATGATTCTAACCCGCTGGTATGTGGCTCTTTTATCAAATCAATTCTCTGTTCTCAGACATGTACAGGGCCTGGCAGTGATTTTACTCGTGTTCCTTCTTTCATGTGGAATATTCATTCCTCACTCCCTTCATCTCAATATAGGCCAATCTTGTCAAGCAGTCAAAGCTCAGCTAATAACCCCCCATCTCCCCCATCTCCACAAAGACTTGCCTGATTACACATGCTGGGGCATGATAGATGCCTGAGTTCTGAGGGAGTTCTGAAACACAAGAGTGATGCTCTGGCCGCCACTCCAAGAAGTTGGCCATCCCAACCAGGTGTGTGATTTGCAGTAAGTATTTTGTGGAATGGAGAGAAGACTACAGTCCTAAGCCTGGCTGGTTTGACCTTCCAATTGTGTGACAAACTGCAAGCTTAGAGGTTAAAGTACTACTGACATAATCATGTAACCCTTACATTTCTGGAGTTCACACACTTTTATTTCAGTCAAGTTGCTATTGAAACACAACTCCTTAGTTGCTATAAGCAATACAGAGGATAACATTAAATGTTGTCACTAAAAATATGTCTTCAATAATTAGATGAGGTCCCTACAGATCACTGCAGACATGCTAGGATGTAAAACTGAACATGAAAATCACTTTTCTGCCCCAGAATTTTCAACTTCTTAGAGCCCATAACCCTTTCAGCAAGACAGACATTAGCACTTGACTTAGAATGAAAATTCTTAAGGGTTATTTCCCACTTTCTGGCTGAATTTGAGATTACACAAAGTAGGAGGTAAACATTACAAGAAAACATAATGTCTTTCTTAACTAAATATTTCTATTGGTTTAGTGTGGTGTCCAAATGTGAAATCCATATGTAAATAATTACTAATAAAGTAAACTTTCCATATTTTTCATAATGCATGCTAAAATTATGTTTTCTTTTTTAAGTGTCTAGTCAGAAGATGTCTATTGTTTCTACACTGTCAAAGAAAATATATGAATCAAAACAGCCTCTAAGAAGCATATACAAAGATCCTTCACTTTATCAATTTTGTGAAGAGCTCACTGAGTCTGTCATTTGCCATTTATCTTCAAGCATTTCTGACAGGACCCAAGATGATAGAGAAAAGGAGAACGCATGGGAAAGCCAAAATGCAGGATTTGACAAGATTATTTCCATTGATTCTCAAATGTTTGAAAGCAGGTCAATTTCTATTGGAGAACTAGCTTTAAGTATTTGTGAAATCATTACTAAAATCCTTTGTAATAGTAATATTATAGAGGTTGACATTGCACAGCATATGTTTTCTTTAAAAACAAAGTACATTTATTGCCCAGGAGTAGCTGCTGCTGACTTTGAAAATCTCTTTCAGGATCTCTTAATAGGAGTGATTCATATACTGTCAAACAAAATAGGAATAACTCATCACTTTGAAAGCAATGGAAGGAATAAACCACTTTCCATGCTCATGCCCATTAGCAACAAAACAAACACCATGAAAAGACAGATAGTTTGCAGAAATTGGGAATCATCTACTCACCAAAATGATAATCTCATTCAAAGAAATAAACTGAATTATCTGGCATGTAAGTTAGACAGTCTAGTTAGCAGCCTAAAAACTCATGAATCCAAAGAAGTAGTCAATAAAGTCTTTAATATTGTTTTAGATTTATTTTTACCAGATGAACACCTAGATGAGGCTATGGATTCTGATAAAAAAGCAAGAAAATCTTTATCCTCCTTGAGTGATCAGCAAAGTAATAGCATACTTGTAAATAACTTAGGGCTTACCCCCAAATCAATTTTCCTTCTCAATGTCGTGTGTGAGAAACTTATTAGAACACTTTTAGAAAAATGCACAAGCACTGTCCTCCTTGATAATGGTCCTCTTTCGGATGAAATATCAACACAAGAAAGTCAACTTTTAAAAGTACTTCAAAGTGTAGAAGATGAAGAATTTGATTACTGTAAGGGAGCAATGGACCATGAACAATTTCAAGCAGATTATATGTCAGACCTTTTGGAAAATCGGGCAGAAATAGATCAAGATTTATTGTCATCAGACTCTATACTTACTAATATTTCCCAAAGCTTGGTTAAATCATTGATGGACAAACTATGTCGCACTATGCAACTCCCCCAAAGTCAACCTACTGCAAGCAAGCATTTAAAGGATAGAGCAAGAGAAATACAGTCTAGTTTTAAAAAAGCAGAAAGGCCAGAATTAGGACAAGGTAAATATTCTTACGGATTCATGAGTTATGATGGTAATGCTCTGACAGCATCCTTGAATAATCCCAGCATGGTTAGTTCCAAAATACAAGCACCATTTGGCAAGAAGCGTTCAGCAAATTCCTCTGCTGTGTCACCTCTTAAAAGACAGAAAACAAAGGATATGCATACAACAGCTATCCAGAACAAGCTATATTGGGGAAGTATGAACACAGGTATTTATTCGGCCACATTTTTGGAAGAAATAATTTCAGACCTGTTTTTTAATCTCTCTATTTCACTGTGGGGCATAAATGAAAACATTACTGAGGCTCGGCTTAATGAGATGAATATGTTATTTGTCAACAACATCGTGGATGAGTTAAATAACACCCATGTCGCTGTTTTACGGAATGTTGAAGAAAGGCTGTGTTTTCCACCAGTCCATAAAGAAACTGTTAGGAGGATTGTTGACTCAGTTTATTATGATGTTGTACAGAAATATAAATCGAAGGTGACCTGTGATGGCAATCTGGCACATGACAACACCTCAATAGCAGAACAAATAACGAATGGCATATTACTAGAGATTTTAGACTACCAACTCCCACCTTGCTTCAGGGAAAAACTCATACCTAACTCATATTGCCACCTCACAGCTGAGATTATACTTCAGAAACTACAGAATAAACTCAGAGAATTTACCTCCAAACCCAGTTCTTCACCAGGCTATAGCACCACGTTGTCATACTCATTTATAGAAGACGTCATCAAAAGACTTTTCTCTCAACTCATTACTCCATCTAGTAAGGTTTCTTCTTTGGGAAGAAAAGATTTCATGAGCTCAGATTTTATTGAAATGTCTAACTGTATAATAAATAAGGTTATATCAGCCATTTCAAAACATAAGATTTGGTTCACTATATGTGATAATCAACATCTATGTACAGGAAAAAACCTCCAGAAGATGGTGGATTCTGTTTATAGTAATATTATACAAATGTCTGACTCTCTTGCTTCAATTCAGAAAAGTATAGTTAGCCGAAGCCCAATTATGGTTGACCGAATAGCCAGTTTTATTATCCAAGAGATTATTGAAAATCATCTTCAACCATTTTTGTGTGAAGAAAGTTTGCCTCGTCCAAATACTCCATTGGATGCGATATCAAACATGGTTAAACAGGTGCTCAGTGAAGTCACAGAGTCACATAGACCCAAGATGCCATCACCCTTAGGTATTTACCCTGATATATTGATAGGAGAAATTGTTGCCAAACTTTTATCAAAGCTTTTCAGTTCAAAGCAAGACACTGAAATTGAGCTGAAAAGCATAACACAAAAAATAGTAGACTCAATAAGTAACCACATTGACAAAGCTAAAATTCACCTTCTATGTGGTGGCAAAGAGCAGTCTTACCCCTCTCTAGATACAGACATTGTGGACGAACTCGTCACCTCAGTTTATAGAAATGTTTTAAAACAGCATGGGATAAACCCTGAGATTGATAAAGAGTGTAAAGACAGTGAAATTTTTGTGGAAAATATTGCCAATTTAATTGTAGCAGCTATTTCAGGTTACCTTCTTCATCCACTGTTTTCTGGGGATTTGTCAGCATCTTCCGCTTCTATTTCCACAGCTGAGAATATTATTCAGGACATTATTAGTAACATCAATAAATCTGCCAAGCCAACTGAAAGTTTATCTCCATATAACACCTTGCTGCCTTACACATTTTTAGAAGACATGATCAGATTACTGTTATCTAGAATCTTTTCTTCTGCATCTAACACTGTTCCAAACACAGAAACTCTAAAAGATAGATCAAGAGTAAATTTCAATGAAATGGCTTCAAATTTAATCAGTGATATTAGGATGAAAATTTCCCAACATGAAATTCGATTTTCAAAAGATGAAGAAACCAAGCCTCTGTATTCAGACGATGATGTTCAGCATCTTGTTGACTCAGTATTCAAAAATATTTTACCAAACTCTGAGTCTCAAAAATCAGTTGAGCAAAATATCACAAGCAGTAAAGATGTTCTCATTGACAGAATAGCAGGTTTTATCATTAAACACATTTGTCAACAACATCTTCAGCCATTTGTGGATGGAAAGTCATTGCCTTCATCATCGTACACAGGTCTTGACAATGAGAGAATGCAGTGGTTTTATGCCCATGTTTATTCTTCAACATTTTTGGAAGATGTGATCTCTGGGGTTTTAAACAAAATATTCCACAGGGTGATAGGCATTGTACAAACAAAATCAGTAAGAGATTCGGAAGATGAACTTTTTGATAAAGCTGAAAAACTCATACATTTGATAGCAGAGGAATTCTCAAAAGCCCAAGTTATCATTCTAGAGAATGCAGAGGAACAATTGTGTTTGCCTCCAGTAGAGAGACATGTAGTCAAAAACATTATTGACATGGTGTTCAGCAAAGTTTTGCAAGAATACAAAATGGACATAATGCCTAACAACAATTTTCTAAATGATACCAAGACATTGGCTGCGAGGATAACTAAAATCATCCTGGCTGAGACTTTTGATTTCCAAATTCATTCAAATATTACAGGAAAGCTTCCTCATAAGTCACATGGCAAACTAAATGTTAATGTTTTGATAAAGAGAGTTCAGTGTTACATTACTAAATCAAGATTCCACAGACAGGCATCAACAATATATACAACGATGTTACCACATACTCATTTGGAAAAAATCGTCACTCAGCTTGTATCTCAGATGGGTCCATTGGCCTTCAGTGCAGAATACACAGATCCTTCTCAATCAGATTTAAGTAGTACAGTCATAAAACTTATAAATGAAATTATGTCAATAATTTCAAAACATGCAATATGTATTATTAAACATGGCAATGGAAAACAAAGTATGATTTCAGAAAAAGATATCCAGTCTATGGTTGATTCCATTTATCTTTCATATTCAAAGCTATACCAGTCTCATTCAAAAAATAAGAAAGGAATAAGTAATATGCCCATTTCAAAAATAGCAAGTTTTATAATAAAAGAAATATTTAACCATCATCTTCAGTCATTTTTATCTGGAGATAAAACCTTCCTTTCAGCTGCAGTTGATCAAAATTATAAACAGAAAGCAATAGATCCTACACAAAGAGAGCTGTCTTTCATTGTGAACTCAGCTGTCTTTTTGGAGGAAGTAATTGCTGAGCTTTTATGTAAACTCCTTTATGCATTCTCACATAATGTCTTGGCTGCTGAAAACCCAGATACACTAAAGGTAAAAATTACTGGCATTGTTACAACATTAGTCAAATCAATTGTTCTGGAGTTCACCACATCAGAGATTTTAGTTACAGATTATTTCAATAATGATGTGTGTTTTTCAGAAAAATATAAAGAAATGGTTCAAAAAACAGTCAACCTTATTTATGATAAAATATTAGATGAATATAAATCTCTGATTCAAGTATATAGGGCTATACAAAGCGACACTGTTTGTTTTGGAAGGAAAATATATCATTTGCTATTGGAAGAAATTTATGATTATCAGGTGCAAACATTAGTTTCAGGAGAATTAGTGTCTTCTTCCTATTTTTCCCCTAAAGCTGATAATATTATCAAAAATGTGCTAAATGTCATCCTGAAGGATAGCCACACCTTCCCATCATGCATTACTGTGCTGCCTCACTCTCTTTTAGAAGATATAATTCACAAGCTTATAGTGCATATCTCCCCTTCAACTGACACTGAAAGGGAACTCGAAAAGGAAGATGGTACACCAGATGATGAGTTTGTGGATGCAGCTTCAAAACTGACTGATGAAATTATCAAAGAAATTTCTGAACATGAAATCCGTCTTGCCATGGCAGAAGAGAATGCAGAAAGTACACAATTAGAAGTGATTGAGAATTTGGTTGACTCTATATGTAATGGTATCTTGAAAAAATCTGAATTTCAAGCTGAAGTGAAAAAAGATGCAGGTAAAAAAGGAGGCTCCATCCTCAGTAAACTAGCTGGTTTCATTATGAAGGAAATCATGGATCATCACCTGAAGCCATTTTTACAGGGTGACAAATCCTCTGTCAGTGATGATGACCAAGTCTCTGTACTTACTAAACCTGTTCCAGAAAAGACACAGACTTCCCTATACTCAGCTACATTTTTGGAGGATGTAATTGTTGACCTTGTTCGCAAATTTTATTCTCTTCTAAGTATTACTGAAGATTCCAAAAAAAAAGAAATGCCAAAGACAGACATTGTGGGCTTGGCTATAAATTTTGCAAACTCTCTGATAGGAGAATTTAGGAAAAGTGAAATTAAAGTTCTACCCAATGCTGAAGAAATGTTTGCTTTTCCACCAATTAATAAAGAGATCATTGATAAGATATCCAATTTTGTGTACGATCAATTCATAGGAAAATACGACTCTAATAAAATTCCAAAGGATGATAAAAGTAACATTCTAACACAAACAATTGCTGCTTTAGCCCAAAAGGCAATCTCTGCTTTCAAGATTCAACCACTTTTTTCAGGAGACTGGTCTTCCACCTTCTTTTCATTTCTAAATCCAGATAACATCACCCAAAGGATTCAACACCTACCACAGAAAACCTCTACACAGAAGAACACATGCTTAAAAGGAAACCAACTTACTTTTTCAGAACAATCATATAAACACACTTCTCCAACCTCAGACCAGAAATATTTGTTGGAAACTCTGAAAATAAGTAGAGGTGAAACGAGTGAAAAGAAAAGTTTTCAAACTGAGGAGACATCAATAAAAAAAGGTGATATGCAAGATCCGAAAGCTACCTCGATAACTAGAAGGATGAAATACAACATGGTTACCTCGTTAACGGAGTCAGCTGCAGGTGTGGCAAATAAAATGAAAGAGAATGAAAATAAAACGACAATTTCCACTGAAAAATATACTGAGAATGTATCAAAAGTTACATCTCCAACTACTAGTGTGAAAAGTAAAGATACTCAGAAGTCAGATGTGAGGGTAACACTTAAAAATAATGAAACTGAGAAGAAATGCAAATCAGCTTCAAAAGATAAAGAGAGGCAAGATAATGAGGCACACACACAAATTCCAGTAACTACTGATGATACAGAGTGTACAAAGGAAATACGTGGACAAGAATTCAAATTAAACAAGGAAAAGAAGATTGGCAAACCAAGGGAAAGTTTATTTAAAAAAGAAGACAAATCCTTTGTGAGAAATGCAGAGACCACAGCAAAGAACACAGTAACTCAAAAGCCAAACATTGAGGAGAGAAAAGACACTGCACCTCTAACAGATATAAATGAAAAACAATACTCTGACTATGAATATGTTCAAAATATCACTGAAAATATTTATGAAAATATCTTGAAAATTAGTCCTTCTCAAGAATCAGTAGATTATTCAAATCTCCAATGTCCCTCAAGTGACAAAGTTCATGTAATTCAAGAGGTTGGCAAGGATTTAGCACAATCGGTTTCAACAAAGGATTTAGCTCTCTCAATTAACGAAAATCTCCCTCCCAAAGAGAAGGAAGAAGAGAAAGAGAGAGTAAGAGAAAGAGAGAAAAATCAAGAGAAAGAGAAAGTTAAAGTTAAGGAGATTAGAAATGAACATAGTAAACCAGATAGTCCTCAGTACCCACCAAAAAGTAAACCTGGAATTTTTCCTGCTAAATTTTTAGAAGATGTTATCATCGAAATGGTTAACAAATTGATCTTTTCTACCTCACCAGAAACACAAACACAGGATAGATGTCAAAATGTAAGTGATGGTCAAAATCAAGCTGAACTGTATGATACAGCTATGAAGCTCATTGATTTACTGTTAAAAGAGTTTTCAGAGGCTCAAATTAAGGTATTTAGGCCAGATAAAGAAAATCAGGATTTTCCACGTGTAGATAAAGTGTCATCCGTTCCTAAAGTACCTCTCAAGCATAAAGAATCAACTACAGATGAAGCATCATCTAACATTAAGAAAATAATGGTGGATAAAATGCCCCATGTGCATAAAGTAACTAAAAATGTCCCTCTAAATAAGATACCTTTCTTAGACAGAATACCAGCAATAGATAAAACATTGATTAACAAAGTTGTTCACTCCTCTGTATGCAATATTTTAAAGGAATACAGATCTCAAGACTCCATTTGTAAGAATATAAAGAGTAATGGGGACAATTTAGCAAGAAGACTAACTAGTGCAGTGATAAATGAAATCTCTCAACATCAGCTTAATTTGACATTTTGTGATGAGGTTCCAGCTTCAGCATGTTTGCCTCTGAACTCTAAGGATGTTGTTAAAAAGATCCAAAAGGTGGCTCAAACAGCCAGTAAGGAATGCCAAACATCATCGCCATATACCATCATGCTGCCTTATGAATTTTTAGAGAATGTGATTTCTGCTCTTTTATCTAAAATTTTCCCAAGAGTATCCAAAATCAAAGCAGAAACATCTGAGGATGATTGGCTCACAGAACTGGATTTCCTTCAAATGAAGTTATTAAGTACAGTCACAACCGAGATCTCCAAGGATGAAGATATGATTATTCAGTATGTGGAATCCTTACATCCCAATGATGATGAAATGATTCAATTAGTGGTCCATTCCATTTACACTAATCTCTTGTCACAGTTTGGATCACAAGAGATTATACAAAGTTGTGTAGCCAGTGGATGCAGAATGCTTTCAGAAACCATGGTTGATTTAGTTCTACGAGAAGTGGCTGGTAATCAGTTGCAGAACTATTTTTCTGGAGAGCTAACTCCACATCAGTGTGCAGAAGTTGATGGGATTATTGAAAATATTCTTAAAGATGTTATACAAACTACTGATGCTCCCAAGTCAAAACCGTCACATGCTCACATATTGCCTTATAACATAATAGAAGAAACTGCTGTAAAATTTTTATCAAAACTTTTAGCTATGTTTCCAAAAGTGGATAAGGAAAGAAACAAATCTCTAGAAACTGAAATGCAAAATATCATCTCAAAAATATTAAATTCAGTGCAAGAATTTATCTCAAAAAGTAAGATTAAACTCACACCACCGGCCAAGGAATTGCCTACTGTACCTTTAGCTGACAAGGAAACTATTGAAAAGGTAGTTGATTCTGTTTATACTAGGATTTTAAACCATTCTGGCTCACATACTTCCATATTCAAAGATCTAATGGGCAAGAGCAATGTCCTCTCTGATATCATAGGTTTTTTAATGGTGAAGGAAATTTCCAATTCTGAATTTCAACCTCAAGTAGAGGAAGAAGTATCAAGTTCAGAATTAGTTCTGGAAGCTGCAAAAATCATGAAAAAAGTAGTCAAAATTGTTGATGAATTTAAGTCCCAGGAAAAGTCTTCATCTCAGAAAGGTTCTATGTTAGATGCCACATTTCTAGAGGAAGCATTGGCCTTGTTCTTGGCTAAAATAGTAAGGTTGCCAAGTGCCTCAAGAAAAGATGCAAAAAATTTATCAAAGTCCGAGTTAAATAAAATTGCATCTCAACTGACAAAATCTGTGACAGCTGAAATTTCCAAAAGTAATATTAGTCTTGTTGCTGCTGACCCTGAAGAACAGCTTTTAAACCCAGAAAGTGTAGAAATGATTTCTCAGGTGATTGACTCTATTTATAGTAATGTGCTCCTACAATCTGGAACCCACAAAGACCTTTACTATGATATAAAAGGTACAAACAGAGTCTTCCCTAAAAAAGTGGCTAGTTTAATTATTAATGAAGTTTCAAATTTTTCAGCAGATACAGATAGCTCAAAGAATTCAAAGGCTGATTTCTTTGGAGATCTAGACATTAATAGAATTGTTCAAAAGACTCAAGAACATGCTTTGAAAATGACCCCTGACATAGAGAAAGAAGAGTCAGATCAAGATTCGGGTGGAGAGGAAATGCAAATTAAAATAGTTCCACATATTGGGAAAAGGCCAATCAAAATAGACCCAGACATTATTTCAGAACACTTAGCAGTACTTTCTATAAAAACTGAACCTCTTGAGAAACTTAAGATGGACTGTTTAAGAAACACTGGACATAGCATAGCAGAAGTGAGAAGAGCATCATTGGCTGGAAAAAGTTCCTCCTCACCAAACATATCTAATGTGGGAAAGATGAAGAAAGAAAGACGTATCTCATTGAGTAATACCGGACGACTGGATATAAAACCCTTAGAGGTAAGTGCAAAAGCAACCACAGAAAGCAGGTGAAAAGTGAGACGTGGTGGTTCTGAGATTCTCTTCCTCAAACAGATATTTTGGAATGCTTCTTTGTTGGTGTTGTTATTGTCTAGCCCAGTAAAAGAATTGGTTTTACTGGTTCATCCATACAGTCATATGGCTTACTGAGACTTGCCATATCTGTGGCTCACTCTAAAGGTCACAAGTGAGTGTTCCTACACAATCAGTTTAAACAGGCTTTAAGGGGGGAAAAAGAATGGGATTCAGGGATAACAGTAAAATCAGACTGACTAAAATTATAATCTTCATTGAAGATTCAGAAGAAACAGAATCTCATATAGTTCCTATAGTTCTTATTGTGGATAAAGGTGTTTAAAAGGGCCAGTTAGAGTATCAGGATATATGGAATTTCAAAAACTATCTGAAATATTTTTAATTTCTCAAACTTATAACTCTACAGAATAGTAATCTTTTTAATTTTAGCAACATTTATCAACAAACTTTAGATTATACTTGCTTCTTAATATTGTACTTTAATTATATTAGCCTTTTCCAGTTTCTTCTATCCTCCCAAAGAAGTAACCTGTTATTTTGTCTTCTATCCTTTTCTAGATCCAGCAGCCCTAATGCTGCCATATTTTTGTTGTTGTTAATCCTCACACAAAGATATTTTTCCACTGATTTTTGAAAGAGTGGAAAGGAGGGAGGGGGAGAGAGAGAAATATAAATGTGAGAGAGACACATTGATTGGCTGCTTCCCACATGACCCCAACGGGGGCCAGGGATGGAACCTGGACCCCTTAGGTGCTCAGCCAGTGCTCTAACCGCTGAGCCAAAGAAGCCAGGGCCTGCTGCCATTTGTATGATTCCATTTCCTCCTACTGTAGAACTAGCTCTGCCTTGTAGCTCCATATTCAGGCCCCACATATATTACACTAATTGGAACATTTAAATGCCAAAATGAAGCATCGACCCATGCACCAAGAGGCGGCCAGTTCAATTCCCGGTCAGGACACATGCCCAGGTTGTGGGCCTGATCCCCAGTGGGGAGCATGCAGGAGGCGGCCAATCAATATTCTCTCCATTGATGTTTTTATCTCTCTCTCCCTCTCAGTTCCTCTCTCTTTAAAATCAATAGAGAAAAAAAAATTTTTTTTTTTTCCTTCTGGTGCGTGCCCCTAGCGGGAACTGAACCCAGGACTCTCTGTTCCGCAGGTCGTCGCTCCAACCGCTGAGCCAAACCGGCCAGGGCAAAAAAAATAAATAAAGATGTTTAATAAATAAATAAGTGCCAAAATGGTATCCTTGTTACAAGGAAACTCTATCACTGAGAGCAAAGGGATTGTCTGGACAATGGAATTACACTGATCCACTACACATTTTGGTTTTTATCGAAGCCCCTTGTACTAATGGGTGTTCATGCATAAGAGGAGTAAGTGTGTTTAGATATGTAATCTCCCGCCCGGAAAATGAGAACAAATTTATAGGACCATTCTCCCTGGAGCATCAACTTAAAGTCAGTTTTATCCAGCACAGCCCTGCAGCCCCCTGAATGAAGTCTCAGGGCTGGTAATTATGTTAATGAGTGTATTATGTTTTTACACCCAAATACTGAGATTATCATGGGCTGAAACACTAATTTCATCTCTTTTGTCCTAAACTTTTTGGACCACATGACAGTCCTTTCCAGCTCAAAATTTCCTTTTCCATATGGGTTCTCATCATTGCATTAGCATGTTACCTGGTAGTCTTCATTTATATAATAGTAATGCCTTGTGAGTAAAATTTGTGTAAACAAACTGTAGAATGATATTATTCAAAATCGGTTTTTAATTATCTGTAGAATTGTCTGTCACAAGTCTTGCTCTTAGTTACCAGCATTCTTTGCTTAAATTATTTATAGACCACAGAAAGTAAGAACAGAATATTTGAACCAAATAGTTACTCCTATCCACTGAAGGGGAAGAAAAACTATCCTAAGAATAAAAATAACAAATATAGGAGCAGACATAGTGAACTGAGTTAAGACGTGTGTGTATCAGTCTGGGTACCAATACTGTCTACCTCCAGCACAGAGGAAGAGAAGAGACAAAAGTATAGCAAATTAGATGTGAGAACCCATACAACTTTTTGGCTCCACCACAGGGCTTTATTTTCTATTTTGAGGTACCTTTATTTCCCAACACACTAGACAAATACATTATTAAAATCATATATAGTAGCAAATTCCAAAGCCATATAAAATGATTTCAGATTTTCTAAACCACTGGTTCCCTTCATTAACACAGAAAATCAAAATTGATTGTTTTAACTTCTTAAGGAGGCAATATCTATATTTTGTTTCCACAGAAGATATTCCATTAGGCAGCATTATCTGAAAACTGGCCAACTGTGTTACAAAGATATGTTGAGGACTATGACTATTCACTTAAGTCAGTTTGGAGGTTCTGTGGCATCATCAAAGAAAACTAAAGTGGAGAAATTCTATTTTTTTTTTTTTAATCCTCACCCGAGAACATTTTTTCCATTTTTTTGTTCAGGTGGAGTGGGAGGGAGAGAGAGGTAGAGAGAGAGAGAGAGAAACATCGATGTGAAAGGCATACATCGAGTGGCTGCCACCTGCACAACCAACCAGGGCCGGGGACAAACTGCAACCGAGGTACATGCCCTTAGCGGGAACCGAACCCGGGTCTCTCTGGACCGCAGGCCGACGCTCTAACCGCTGAGCCAAACCGGCCAGGGTGAGAAATTCTATTATTTGATCATTAGTCTTTGAATTGTCTTTAGATATTGAAAATGGAAAGTGAGATTTGATTAGGGAGGTATGAAAAAATTGAAGATACATGTTTTAAAGATTCTTTTAAAAAGTGTGCCAAAGGATCACAAGTGAAAGAACAGGGATGAAAGAGTCAAAAACTTCCACAATTTTGGTACTCATGTTTTAAAAATCAAAATTAGATAATAACTAGATTTATATTGAAAAAAAATAGGTTACTCTGTTATTCCTTATCTAGAATTTTAGAAAAATAGATGATCATATCTACTTCTGTAAAAAAAAAAAAAAAATTAGAAGTAAATGGACGAAAAGTAAATTATGATACAAAAAAACTAAAGTTTAAGGAAAAAAGGACCTGTGTTAGACCTTGTATACTTTGAAGTAATATGGTGGATTAATATGATTTCTGAGTAAAAAATAAATAACAGATATCAAAAATATCTTATAATTTTCATTTGTTTCTTCTTCTTAAAATATTGCTACATATAAGTGAGTGACGTGAAGATAATATTACTTAAATTGAAACCATCTATCATATTAACATAGCTCTATTATAATAGAACCTTAGGAAAAGTGATTGATGCTTTTGTTTTTAATATTCATTGTAACTTCAATTTCAGGCTGTTTGCAGAAATTCATTTATAAATATAAGAAAGCCTGATCTCACCAAGGTGGAGCTTTTAAAAGATGTTCAGAGCAAAAGAGAACTTCTCATCCGATTAGTAGCTCATGATATTGAAAATGATGCAGAAAATAGCACAGAAGATAAACGAAGGTCTGATGAATATGAAGATGTTCTGAGAGAGCTTATACAAGCCGAGGGCTTAGGAGAACTGGAAGATCAAGAGAAAGAAGCCACAGAGGCAAATATTGAAAACACTAAAGCAACCTCAAATCATATAACAGAACCTCAGAAAAAAGACATTAAAAGATCTGTTGCTGAGCTTGACACGCCCACCAGTTCTACAACCATGGCTGTAACAGACTCTTCTTGGGAGAAAAAGCCACAGCATAAGGTAAGTGAAAAACATGACCGTCAGTAACCAGACATTCTTCAGAAATTCTGTCCAAAATAAACCTTAATTAGATGGAAAAGAGTACTAAAATGGTTCTAATCATCTCCTAAGCCTGGTAATATTAATAGGATAAAAGAAGTAATGAACAGATTAAGCCATAAAACTCAATTGAGGGCATGCAGACAATAGAAACAGAGCTGGATTAGTTACAAGCCCAAGGAGAACAAAAAATGGAAACCATGTAAGAGAAGCGAAAGCTGATTGATAATATCTATTATTTAATAGAGCCCAACCCTTTTGTATTTCTTCTAGCAAATACCCATTAAAAATTCTGTGTAGAGAAGACTTATGCATGTAGGATGTGACCAGAAGGTGGGCTAAGGTAGGAGGAAGAAATAATGGCTAAAAACTTTACTAATCTGGGAAAGATAGAGGTATCCAGGTCCAGGAATCCCGGTGAATTCCAAATAAGATGACCCCACAGAGAGCCACATCAAGACACATTATAATTATAATGGTAAAATATGAGGATAGAGAATCTTAAAAGCAAGAGAGAGAAAAAAAAAACTTATTACATACAGAGAAATCCCATAAAGATTGGGAAATCCAATTAGGATAGGGAAATCTCATAAGGATACTAGGTTTTTTAGCAGAAACTATATAGACCAGAAAGGAGTAACATGACATTTTCCAAGTGCTGAAAATAAAAAAATTCCAACCTAATATTTTCTACCTCGTAATGTTATTATTAATAATTGGAAGAGTGATGAAGAGATTTCCAGATAAGCCAAAGCTAGAGTTCATCATCACTAAACCAGCTCCACAAAAAAATGTTACAAGGATTTTCCTAAGCTGAAAAGAAAATGCATTCATCAATAATAAGAAAATATATAAAAGTAAAAATCTCAGTGGAATAGATAAATATATAGTAAAAGTAGTGTATCAATCATCTATAAAACACAGATGTAGATTAAGAAATAAAAGAAGTAAAATTGCCATAATTAATTAAGGGAAGCATAAAATAAAAATGTAAAAGGTATCATCAAAAAATAAAACAAGGGAAGAATAAAAATATAAAGCTTTGAAATGTTTTTAAATTTAAGTTGCTAACAACTTAACCTAGACTGTTATATATTTATGATGTTATCTGTGAACTTCACAGTAACCACACAACAAAACTATAGTAAACACACACAAAAAATAAGAAAGGAATCTAAACATAACATTAAACAAAGCCATCAAACTACAAAGGATGAGAGAAGGACAGAAAGTATAAAAGCAGCCTGGAAAACAAGTAACAAAATAGCAATAAATATATACTTATCAATAACTACTTTAAATGTAAATGAACTACATCTACCAATCAAAAGACGAGTGGCTGAATGAATAAAAAAAAAAAAAAAAAAAGCTCAACTATATGCTACTTATAAGGAATTTACTACAGAAGTAAGGACACACACAGAATGAATATAAAAGGATGGGAAAAATATTCTATGCAAGTGAAAACAAAAAGGTGTATAGTTATAATCATATCAGACAAAGTAGACATGAAAACAAACACTGTAATAAAAGACAAAGCCCAGCACTACATAATGCTAAAAGGGGCAACCAAGCAAAAGACTAAAACATTTATAAATATATACGCACTAAATTTAGAAGTACCAAAATATTAATGGACCTAAAGAAAAAAACTGACAGCAATGCAATAATAGTAGGGGATCTCAACACCCACTTGCATCAATGGAGAGATCATTGAGACAGAAAATCAATGAGAAAACATCGACCTTAAATAATATATTAGACCAGATGAATATATACAAGATGGGGCAAAAATAGGTTTACAGTTGTGTGTATGGAAAAGAATACAAGAATTAATACATAATCAAGAATAAACTCTGTTTCACATACTCACAACTGTAAATCTACTTTTGCTCCACCCTGTAGATGCACACACAGAGACCATTCAATCCCAAAACAGCAAATACACATTCTTCTCAAGTGCACTTAGAACATTCTCCAAGATCAAATGTTAGGCCACAAAACAAGTTGCAATAAATTCAAGAAGATTCCAACTTTATAAAATATTGAAATCTTTTTTGACCACAACTGTATAAAACTAGAATTCAATTAAAAGGAAAAAACACAAAAGCATGGCAGTTAACCAACATGCTATATAACAACCAATGAGTCATCAAAAAATCAAAGAAGAAATTAAAAACACCTTGAAAAAAATGAAAACAGAAATACAACATATCAAATTTTAAGGAATGTATCAAAAGCAGTACTAAGAGGAAGTGCAAAGTAATAGAGGGTTACCTCAAAAACAAGAAAAATCTCAAAATACCTAACTTTACACCTACATTAACTAGAAAAAGAACAAACAAAACCTAAAGTTAGTAGAAAGAAGGAAATAATAACAGAGCAGAAATAAATTAAATAGAAACTAAAAAAAAAAAATTAGGAAAAAAAGAAAAACAATGAAACTAAGAGTCTGTAATTTGAAAGGATAAAATCAACAAACCTTTAGCTAAACTAACCAAGAAAAAAGAAGACTCAAATGAAAGAGTAATTGCAACAGATACCACAGAAATACATAGGATCACAAGAGACTACTACAAACAATTACACACCAACAAATTGAACAACCTAGAAGAAACAGATAAATTACTAGAAACATACAATCTTCTATGACAGAATTATGAAAAAAAAAAAAAAACATGAGTAGATGAATTATATGTAAAAATACAGGATCAATAACAAAATTCTCCCAACAAATAAAAGTCTGGGACAGCTGCACTGATGAATGCTTCCAAACATTCAATAAATATTTAATACTTAAGCCTTTTCAAAACCTCCCCCCAAATTAAAGACAAACAAATGCTTCCAAACACATTTGACAAGACCAGCATCACCCTGGTATCAATACACCATACAAAAAAGTTACAGGCCAATATCCTGGATGGACATAGATGTAAAAATTCTCAGAAAAATATAAGCAAACTGAATTAAACAACACAATGATAGGATTATACAGAACAATTAAGTGGAATTTATTTCAGGGATGCAAGGAAGGTGCAACATCCACAAATCAATCAGATACACAACATTAACATATGCAGGATAATCTAATCGCTAACATGATCATCTCAATACATGCACAAAAAGCATTTGATAAAATTAAACACTTATGATAAAAACAAATTGGGTATAGAGGGAACATAATAAGGGCTATATATGAAAAACCTACAGCTAATATCATACTCAACAGTGTAAAGCTAAAAGCTTTTCTTCCAAGGTCAGGAATAAGGCAAGGATGCCCACTGTTGTCACATTTATTCAACACAGTGCTAGAAGTTTTAGCCACAGCAATTAAGTGATAAAAAATAAAGTGCATCCAACTCAAAAAGGAAGATATAGAAAACCCTAAAGATTCCACAAAAAAATTGTCAGAATATATGAGTACAATAAAGTTGTAAAATAAAATAATCAATACACAGAAATCTATGTAATTTCTATAAACCAATAAGTATTAATGAAATGGAAAAAAAAATCCCATGTATAATTACATCTAAAAGTATAAAATACCTAGGAATAAATTTAACCAAGGAGATGAAAGACCTATACAGTCGTCCCTCGCCACTTAGCTTTGACTTCCATGGCTTCCCTCTATCGTGGTTCTTTCAAATCTATTCATTGAAAAGTTGATCGAGACAGTGAAAATGACACAGTGCACGTTCAGATGTCTGAGTCAATTATACACCCCTGTATTACAATTAAAATTAAAATTACTGTACATATGATCTGTAGGCCTATGTATTTGAGCACCCCAGGAATCCTTCAACACCAGGTGCAATCACTAGAGTCTGGAACTGATTAACCATGATAAACAAAGGACAACTGTACACTGAAAACTATGAGATACTATGAAAAGCAATTGAAAACAAAAAGTGAAAAAATATTCTGAGCTTATGGATTGGGAGAATTCATATTGTTAAAACATCAATACTACCCAAAGAAATGTACAGATTCAATGCAATCCTTACCAAAATTCCAATGGCATATTTCATGAAATTATTCTAAAATTTGTATAAAAACACAAAAGATCTCAAGTAGCCAAAACAATCTTGAGAAATAACAAAGAAGGAGGTATCATGCTTCCTGATTACAAGATGCTTGTCAAAGCTATAGTAATTGAAACCATATGGTATTGGCACAGAAACATACACACAGACCAATAGAACACAATTGAGCACCCAGAAATAAACATATATATATGCAATTTATGACTCAGGAAGCAAGAGTATAAGATGGAGAAAAGTCTGTTCAATAAATAGTGTTGATAAAATCAGACAGCCACATGCAAAAGAATGAAACTAAACCACTATTTTACACCATATACAAAATTAACAAAAATGGATTGACTTGAATGTAAGACCAGAAACAATACAATTTCTAGAAGAAAGCAGAAGCAGCCAACTCCCTGATATCAAGATTCTTGATGTCTTTGTGGATCTGACTCCAAACACAAAGGAAACAAAGCAAAAATATACAAAAGGGACCACCTCAAACTAAAAAGCTTCTGTACAGTGAAGAAACCTACATTAAAACAAAAAGACAACTTATGGATTGAAAGAAAATATTTGCAAATCATATATCTGATAAGGGGTTAATATCTAAAAATATATAAAGAACTCATGCAACTCAACAATAATTTTAAAAAACAACCCAATTAAAAATGGGCAAAGGATCAAAATAGACATTTTTTTCAAAAGAACATATACAGATGGCCAACAGGCATATGAAAAGATGTTCACCATTACTAATTAATAGGGAATTGCACATCTAAACCACACACATATAAAATGCCTATTATCAAAAAGATAAGAATGTGGAGAAAAGAGAACCCTCAAAAAGATAAGAATGTTGGTGGGAGTGTAAAGTGGGGCGGCCACATGGAAAACAGTATGCAGGTTCCTCAGAAAATTAAGAACAGAACTACCACTTGATCTAGCTATTCCACTTCTGGATGTTTATCTGAAGCATATGAAAACACTAATTCAAAAAGATATGTGCACCCCTATATTCATGCAGCATTATTTACAGTAGTGAAAATATAGAAGCCACCTAAGTGCCCACCAATGAATGAGTGGATAAAAAAACTGTGATTATATATACAACGGCATGTGACTCTGCCATAAAAAGGAAAGAAGTCTTGCCATTTTTGAGAAAATGAACAGACTTTAAAGGTGTAATGCTAAATGAAATAAGTCAGAAAGCAAATGACAAATACCTGATGACTTCACTCATGTGAAATTGAAAAAATAATAATAAAACAAACAAAACATAAAAAACTTAATAGATGCAGAGAACAGATCAGTGGTGAGAAGAGGGCAAAGAGTTAAGGGGATTGGTGACAGGGAGGAAGGGGTCAACTTTATGGTAATGGACAGTATTTTTAGTGTATACAGATGTTGAATTATGATGTTGTACACCAAAAACTTACATAATAATATTTTTTAAAGAAATGTTTTAGTATAACATTAGCAAAACTCAGATTGTGTGAATGATAATCTCGGTAATAATAGCCTTTTGTGAGACTCTAATAAACATCAAAAGATAGATATTCTTATAATAGACATAGCCGTAAAATTACACGATTTCCCAACAAATAGATCAGAGCACTGGTTATAATGACTGACCTGGTAAGGTTCTGAATTGACCAGAGTTACAGCCATTCCTTTTATTTTTGAACTCAGTAAGATATGATTAAAAATATTAGTAATGTGCAGAAATGGAAAATTATATTCTTTAAACACTGTGCTAGATTTAGCCTTAAATTACATTCAAACTCCAATATAGATCATCTTCACTAAGCCAACTCCAAAGAAATATATTAAAAAGAGACATTTTAACAAATTAGAATTATAGGGTTCACTCATCTTTTAAATAATGTCTAAAACTTTTTCTCATATTATAGAGTGCAGTAATACCTGGTTTTCAATTTTTCAGAAAGAAGAAAATAATATTACTGAACCACCACATCACTTCATACACAGAATTATGAGTTTATCTTCATACAACCAAGAAGATCTGATTTCATCAGCCAGGTACAAGAACTTAAAACAATACAAAAGTAAAAAACTGAGATGAAAGTCATGTTTATTGAAAAAATGGGTTCCCTGGTAAAACTATGATTGGCCAATTATTCAGTTTTAAACCTTCCCTCATTCCTTATTCTCCGTTCCCACAGCTCCCGACTTGGATAATTCCAAAGTCCTCCCCTTTCTACTTGACCCCCATTTTTATTCTCCTGGACTCTACATCCTTTTGATCTAGCAGTATGTTGGATAAAGAATTTACGTGTGTGTGTGTGTGTGTGTGTGCGTGTGTGTGTGTTTTACCTGGGAGATAAGGCTTGGGTCACAATCTTATCTCCATCACTTGTGCAAAGGTTCCTGCTCAAATCTCTTGAGTAGTAAATGGGTTGTTAGTAATTCATGAGTACAGAGTATCAGTTGGGGAAGATGAAAGAGTTCTGGGGATGGATGATGGTGATGGTTGCACAACAACGTGAATGTACTCAAGCACACACCTGTACATTTAACATAGGTCAAAATGTTAAATTTTATGTTAAGTGTATTTAGCCTAAAATTTTAAAGTGAAAAACGGTCAATTTAGAAATCATATTTATCAATTTTGAAACTCAGCGATATAGTATTTCATGTTATATCCATATGAAGAATGATTGACATATTGTTCTCTTGCTTAACCAGTATTTCCTTCATTCATTAAATATACAGAAAATGAAATGCTCTTTATCTTTTCTTTTAGTGAGACCGAAGATTGTACCCCAGCTACACGTGCTAAGATATTAGAAGGTTAGATTTATTTTATTTAACTTAAATTAGAAAGTATTCAAAAGAGGACTTAGTTTATTTCTTTGATAAATGCTGTAGTTATCAAATCTAATGTTGATACTGCTTTGTTTCTTTCTGTGAGCATTAACTACTTTTAGAAATATGATCCAGTCCTATATCACTCAGGTGTTAAAAATGAGCCAATTAGTTTGTCTTGTCTGAATCGCTATTACATTTTATTAATGATTTCGATCAAGAATGTGGCATAATATTGAGAAATAACATTTACCATGCTCCTGTGAGACATACCCACAAAATAAGGCTATATCATACCATAGCTTCTGTCTGAGCCAGAACCCATGATGCTAGGGTATAACAATTTTTTTGAGAGGTTATTCTTTTGGCTTAGCCCTATAAAAACATACTAAGGGGTAGAGGGCTGTAAGAGATCAATTTATTAGCTGACATTAAAATCTGGCCAGTATGGACCTCACTTTTTTTTTTAATCTATTGGTACTAACTCCTTAGAACATTTGTGAGGACTTTCTGGTTCTCCGTTTGTTGAATCCTCAGAGGATCAACGTGGCTCTAACAGTAACAACATGTACAAAAGATGCAGTGCTGTGTTACTGTTAAGTGGCCTTGAAACTCAAACCACAGGCTTACCTTGGTTATCTCAAACACATAACCCACTCAAGGAGATAGTCAAGAAATATAAAGTGGAAGTGGAAATCATTTTCATTGAGATGGTTCATAGTATAGCAGTTAAGTATGCCAGAATTCTATGAACACACCATAACCAGAAGATGTCACAATAATCACTAATATGATACCTGTATTATGGATTCATAGCTGTTAGACTCAGAAACTATTCAATACAGTGTCCTTCATTGTTTACATGAGGAAACTCAAGTTCAGGATTAGGAAATGATTTGTCCAAGGTTACTTTCAGTCAGAGACAGAGTACAGTTTAGACCCACAAATTCAGTTTGTTTGTCTTTTCCAGCTTTGTTGCAATGATCATAGCTAATTCTTATATCCTTTAGTAGTATTGCAGCTGTCCAATTCAACCATTTATTTATTCATTCATTCAAAGATTTACTGAGCATCTCCTCTATGTTATGTCCCATGTATGAACAAACCTGACAAAGTCTTTGTTCTCATAGAATTTATATTGTAACTTGGGGCAGGGCATCAAAGGGTGAGAACATGAACAAGACAATTCCATACAATAAGTACTTCCCATCTCATCTGAGACAAAAACCAAGGAAACGTCAAAGGCTTGCAAAACCCTACATCATCTGGACATTACCCCAGGTCCCCTGTTACCTTTCTACCACTTCCTCTGATTCTCTTTCTGGAACGCTCTGCTCCAGCCTCACTGACCCCCCTTCCTGTTCCTTAAACATCCCAGGTATTCGGGGCCTTTGCACTTGCTGATCCTTGTGCAGTGCTCTTCCTCCTATATTTGCATTGCTCACCTTCAGATCTTTACTCAAATGTCACCTCAGTGAGGTCTTTGAATCTGTAACCTCATTTCCACCATTGCATTAACCACTCCACTTCTTTGCTTGTTTTTCTCCCTGTCATTTGTTATTCCCTGTCAATTGTTTTTTTCATTATCCCCTTCTAGAATGTGAGCTCCATAAAGATCACAGCTGCATCTCCAAAAGCCTAAAACAGACATATAGTAGGAGGAGGCATTCAGTAAAATAGGAGAGACTATGGGAGTAACTAAGGGGAGGGGCACAAAGACTCTGTTTGGTTATGTTTAGATTGAGGTGCCCATTACATATTCAACTTGAGGTGTCACATAAGCAGTAGGATATTTAAGTCTGGAGTCCAATGGTGAGGTCAGGGCTGAACATACACATACTTAGTTTTGTATAATATATACAATGAAATCTCAAACAATTTAGATCTGAATATCTGAGATCCTTAACTATCAATAATTTTTCTGTAACTCTTCATCAACAAACTAAGACAATGTGTACAATGTTTAAGGGAAAGGACAAGAGATGTCAACCTTCAATGTAGCCAAAATTTTAAAATTTTCAGACACAAATTTTAAAGCTGTGATTATAAAAATTTTCATGAAGTAATGGTATATATGCTAGAATCAAATGGAAAGATAGATGTTCTCAGAAGAACTTGAGTATATTTACTCATCTCAGACACATGCTAGCATGTGCTCCCTGCTTTTGGATTAGGGTTTCTCAACTTTAGTTCATACACATTAGAGTTTCGTGGGCATTTATTTTTAAATACCAATATCGGCCCCACCCTCAGGGATTTCCATTCAATTGGTGGTATGTGATCCAGGAATTCATTTCTTTTTAAAATTTCCACAGATATAGACAATGATGAGAATCAGTGCTTTAGATGGTCTCTAGTTTATTCTATTGTTCGGGCTTCCTACTTAATATGTCTTAATATGTAAACTGCACTGAGGTTTCACATATTTTATGTTGCATGTATTTAGTTAGCCCTTACTTTGCTGATTTTTCCCTTCGTTTTTTTAATTGCTAGCATTAAGGAATATCTGCAATGAAACCCAGTTATCTGTCCCAGATTATTCTATGCCTTTCTAAGAAAATTGCTGCTTCTGCATTCCAAGAGGTGTAAAGGCTCACAGAGTAAAGCTGGTACTGAGCCATGATTCCCTGCCCTACCAGGTCCACATGCCACTTTATTGCTTCAGACTTCAGAAGAACTAAGATTTCTAAAAGAGGAAATTGAAATTATTTAGTGAACATCCATTTTCCCTTGATTCTTTATCATTGCCTCTATTATCAGAAAAGAGTTTATAACTTATGAATTTTTTAAATTTAGTAAAAGGAGGGAGGAGCCAGACAGAGCTGGCATTTTTTGTGATTTAAGATGTTTGAGTCTTAACACACTGTATGGGAGAGCATAATTGCCAATGATATATCAGATAAGTGGTTAATTTCCAATATATATTCAGTGCTCATACAACTCAACAAAAGGAAGACAAAGAACCCAATTAAAAAATGGGCAGAGGACTAAATAGATACCTCTCCAAACAGGACATACAAATGGCTAAGAGACATATGAAGAAATGTTCAATATCACTAATCATCAGAGAGATGCAAATTAAAACAACAATGAGGTATCACCTCACACTTGTCAGAATGGCTGCCATCAACAAATCATCAAACAACAAGTGTTGGAGAGAGTGTGGAGAAAAGGGGACTGTAGTACACTGGTGGTGGGAATGCAGACTGGTGCAGCCACTATGGAAAACAATATGGTGTTACCTCAAAAAATTAAAAATTGAACTTCCATTTGACCCAGTGATCCCACTTCTATGAATATACCCTAAGAAGCCTGAAACATCAATCAGAAAGAATATATGTACCCCCATGTTTTGTAGCAGCACTATTTACAATAGCTAAGATCTGGAAACAGCCCAAGTGTCCATCAGTAGACAAATGGATAAAAATGTAGCGGTACATATACACAATAGAGTACTATGCAACTGTAAGAAAGAAAGATCTCTTATTCTTTGAGACAACATGGAGAGACCTGGAAAGTATCATCCTAAGCGAAACAAGCCAAACAGAGAAAGACAAGTATCATATGATCTCACGTATTCGTGGAATATAATGAACATAAAAGTCTGAGGAATGGGGTAGTCCCAGAGATGTGGAAGTGGGGTACAGACTGACAATCCCCAGAAGAGGGGGTGGTGGGGAGAGATAAACCACAGAACTTATATGCATGTGTGCATGAACAATGGACATGGACAACAAAGCTGGGGACAGGGCCGGGAGGGAGGGGATGGGGAGAATCAGTGGGGAAAAAGGAGAAACATCTGTAACAAAAATTAATTAATTAATTAAATTTTTTAAAAAAGATGTTTGAGCCTTTGATAATAATTTAATGGTAGCCAAGGTCCATAGAGTCAATCCTAGAAAAAAAATGCAAAAAATTATGGGGCTAAGTCTCAGAAAATTTTTAGGTATCTCTAGTGTGTAGTGTCCAACAAAAGACTAAGTTAAGAACTTTGCTGTGTCTTGGCAGTTTATCACCATCTCTGATGGAAACAAGAATAGCCTTGATAGTTGTATCCCTTATGGAAGTCATTTCAGAACAAACTATACCATCCTTTTAGCATTCCTCCTGGAATGAGTGGCTCCTCCCTTGCAGCACGTATACCTATTATCAATATGAGATTCAAATAATATTTCTACTACTTATATGTAGAGCAATTTGCCATTTGCTTTGCAGTTCTCCTACTTTACAAACCAAAGGGATGGTAATAGATCATGGAAACAACATTCACTAAGTACCAGCTATCTCCATTTTATTAAAGAGAAAAGTGGGCATCTTTAAGGAGGAAAGTGAGTGTAGGTTGCTCAGAGTCACTCCACAGCTCATAAGCTGCAGAGCTGGGATTCAAACCCTGATCCGCCCAACTTCAAAGCCTAAACTCATTCAACATGACCAGAGTTCACACACTCAAATGTTCACAGGAGTCAGGCAGGTAATATAAAGGAGCAGTAGATGCCCTGGCCAGTTTGACTTAGCCATTAGAGCATCGGCCCAAAGACCAAAGAGTCACAGGTTTGATTCCAGTGCAGGGCATGTACCTCAATTGTGGTTCAGTTCCTTGCCCTGGTCAGGGTTGTGCAGGAGGCAACCAGTCGATGTGTCTCTCTTGCATTGATGTTTCTCTCTCTCTCTCTTTTTCTCTCCCCCACCCACTCTATCTGAATATAAATGGAAAAAAAAATACCCTCAAATGAGGATAAATAAATACATAAATAAAGGAGCAGCAGGTTGAGCCAGGGAGGTCTGTGGTCCACAGGAGGTGTCATACCCCAACTAAAGGCAGGAGTATGACTAAAGGCAGGAGTATGTTGGATTGTTGCCAGGTCTTCCAATTCAGGTCTTAGCATTTTTCCAAAGAAGCTGAAGATGGAAGTTTTATGTCAAAATACTTGACATTTAAATGTTATCAAATAATTCAATGCTTTTGTGAAATGATTTGTGGACAAAATAACAAAAAAATAAATAAAAATAAAAATAAACCTGCCCATGTCCCATATACCTTACTATTGACCTTCTGCGAGTCTCAAAGCCTAATTTACCAAAGAGGAAATAGAGGTAAATAACCGCCTGAGGTTACACAGTCCAAAAATGTACAGCTTTCAGGGCTCAAAATGGGTCTTCTGACTTTGATCCTATTCTTCCCTGCACATTTTGGCTCCATAAAGTTGCTATTGCATTCCAGAATGGGGGCCACATTGGATAAATGACCAAAGATATCATACAGTTTTGCTGTGAAAAAAAAATTTTAACTGATAAAAATAAGTGTGCGCCATTCCCTCTGGAGATGAGTTATATGCATACTATTAACCTAGGATGTCAGCCACCCACCAGTCTTTTTTGTTTGCTTGTTTTTTTAAGAATAGCTTATTGTTTTTTAGAGACAGAAGAAGGGAGAGGGAGAGAGAGAAAGAAACATCCATGTGAGAACTAAACATCGATCAGCTGCCTTCTGAAGGCCCCCTACCGGGAATCGAGGCCACCACTGGGACGTGTGCCCTGACCGGGAATAGAACTGGCAACCTGTTGGGAAGACGACCAACCAACTGAGCCCCACCAGCCAGGGCAGCCACCCACCAGTCTTGAAAAAGATGTAGGAATCTAGTAATGAATGCAGAACCACTCAGGATACTTTTAACAATGCAGATTTCAGGATCCTCTCCGGATTGGCTTAAATTAGCAACTTGGAGTAACAGTGCCCAGGAATCTGCATTTTAAACAAGACCAACAACTTTCAAGAACAGACACTAATTTTACCTCTGGAGTGAGACTTTCAAAGTCTTGCAACAATATCTTGATAGTGTTAGTAAAACATATACATTGCTTCTCCAGGCACATCTTTCTCTGTCATGCATGCTTTTGTCTGATGTGCTGCACACGGTGGTCTTTTCCTCTTTAATTCTTATGTCATTAAAAAAACCTAAACAGACTTCTGTTCTTTATTTATGTTTTTGGTGGTTTTTTTTGTTTTTTGTTTTTGTTTTTTGCTGTCTGGTATTTTAGGTTTAACCATAGAAGATATTTCTTGCTAGAAAAAACAAATCTGGATAAATGTAGAGGGTAAAGTCATGTACTTAGGCATGTATTAGAATTGAGAAAATAGAGACTTTTGCTCTCTGTTTTCCTGTCCTATCACATCTTACCATAAAGTTTCAGAAAAGCACATAAATACTGACTTCTGTCTTTATACATAAAATAATTTTGTGAAATTAAAATATATTCTCAAAGAGCCAGTGTGCTGAATGGTGCAGAAAAATGAATTCAAAAGCATTAATCTTTTATTATCTACAGTCTTATCTCACATGACACACAAAAAAGTTAGTCAACTAAAAATTTACTCCAAATAGGTGAGAAATTACAGCAGTTTGAATGCTCTCACTTGACCACTCAGAAATGGGCACCCTCACTGTACAGAACTGACAGCTAGTTTCCACAGTGAGTTTAGCTCACCAGGCTTTTCCAGAGAGTTTTAGGCTAGAAAAAGAAAGGCATACTTTGCACACCTGACTAAAGAAGCATCAGCGTTCAGTAGGTATAATATGCCAAGAGAGTCAAAAAGCTGAAGCCTAATCCCACCTTGGCCACTTTCTAGTGGTGTGACCTTAGCTAAGGTATTTGACCTCATCAATATTCAGTGCCCAAAAATGGAAATAGCATTCTCTTTTTTTCCTTTGCAGAAAAATAAAGAATCTTCGTGAACTAATTTTTAATCCATGTTGTATTTTATAAATGTCACTTTTTAAAGTCTACATAATCAATGCTGTAGTATGACTATAGTATTAAAATGCTTACTAAATATCCACATTACTTTTTTGCTTTCTCCACAGAAACTCCAAGGGCTGGTATTTCCAAACAAGGATCTAAAATGATGGCAAAGGTATCGTCAGCTCTGTCAAAGGTGTTTTCTCGAACTAAAACAGATATTTCCAAATCTTCATCACCACCTCACCAGGACAAAGATTAAAACTTTTATACCTGATATTACAATGCTTACTTCCCTTAGAAAATAAAATTATTTTTAAAGCATAACATAGTGTGCCATAAGATGATTTATAAAACATTGAGCAAATAAAAGTAAAATAGAGGCCTGGTAAGAGAAGGGCTCGTGAGTGTTTTGACAGGCATTTCGGTATGAGAAGACGCTGAGTGCTGGTGCTACCTATGCGCCTCAAGGATAAAGACAAAAGGTCACCTGATACAGTCACCTCTCAGCAATGACCAGAAAATGAACTTGAATTTTTTTCTTTTAAATTTTTAGAGGTATTTTTACCAAAACAGTGAGCAAACTGAGATGAGACTGAAGCTAGATTCTATGCCACAGCTATGAAAGTGGTTGGTTCTCTGCTGAAGATGTATTTGAATATTCGAACAAAAGTATGTATACCACATATAAGAAATCAGTTTTTCCCACCTGAAGATAAAAGTTCATCATTTTATAATATATGCCCCAAGATACAAGATCCAAATATGGATAAACCACCATATACAATCAAATAATTACTTTGCATAAAATAATAAATATACATGAAATATCTTCTGGGACTGAAAAACATCTTTTTAGACACAATACCTTTGTGGATAGAATACTATCAATAAGTCACTGGTCACTAAAGTTATTAAAACATTTATGTAAGTATTTTAGCATGGAAATATATTATCAAGGCTCTATTTGTAAAATCAATATAAAAGAAAAGGAATATTTAACAAGATGGATAGCTAGTACAGTGATAAAATAAATGTTATAAAATCAGTTAATATGCTACTTTGTGATATGGATCCAACTTCAGCATGTTTGCCCCTGGAATCTATGGATCTTGTTTAAAAGATCCACAACTGTAAACCAAATAGAAAAAAAGTGTCAGTCAATTTTTTAGGGGAAGATGGTGATGGGCAGGACCCGAGGGAGGGTGAGTGTGTGAGAGGGTGAGCGCATGTGTGAGAGAGTGTGAGTGGACATGAAGGTGGACAACCAAACTCCTGCAGTGCAGAGACCCAGCACAGAAGGCTCCTGTGCTGTGGAGGAGCAGCCGGCTACCACAGTAAGCAGCTCTACAGGGCACTTCTCCCTGCACCACAGGGAGGTTCCACCATTTTGGAAGATCCCAGGTCTTCCCTGGGAAGAGGCAGTGGGAGCCACTAGGGCCCAGCAACCTAAGCCTACCAGTGCACCTGGCACCACTGAACCAGGGGACACCCTGTCTCAACACAAACCAGTGCACAGTAGTGTAGCTGCCAAGGTTCAGGTCTCAGAAGCCACGGACATCTGGGAGCCCAACCCATCCCTCACAGTAGCAGCAGGATCAAAGTCAAGATATACCTCCAGCAACAGAAGCTGGGGAGCAGACATCCATCCCTAGGCAACAGAAGGACAGACCAGCAGTAGAGAACCATCCCCAAACACTAGAGCAAAGGCTGAGCAGGAGCTGAGCCCAACAGGGCAGCAGCACTCCCCAGCTGCCAGCAGTGAGACCTGGGGCTCCACAGGGGCCTGTGCAGGCCAGTAGCCCACAAGAGTACTGGGGAGCTGGGGAACCACACAGGCCTGTGTGACCAAGCAGCCCACAAGAGCAGTGGGGAGCTGCACCCCAAGAGGGACTGGTGCTATCCAGCTGCTCAACCTCCGCACCCAGTAGCCCCCAAGAGCGGTGGGAAGCCAGAGCCCAAGAGGGACTGGTGCTATCCAGCTGCCTTCCCACGGGACCTGAAGGGTGCGGGGGCACCAAAGAGTCCTGTGCGACCCAGCAGGGACTATGCCTTCCAGTAATCCATGGGACTTGCAGGGTGCTGAAGCACCAGAGAGGCCTGTGTGACCCAGCAGGAACTGTACAATCTAGTTAACCATGAGACCCGTAGGGTGCTGAAGCACCAGAGAGGACTGTGTGACCCAGCAGGAACTGTACAATCTAGTTAACCATGGGACCCGCAGGGTGCTGAAGCACCAGAGAGGCATGTGTGACCCAGTTGTGCACAAGATAGCCTTAGAAGATGTGAAAATGGAGGCAGAGTGAAAGGAAGCTACACAGACAATCTCTCAGGACCAAACGGGAATTAAAATCAAAATAAAGAAAAATCCTTGGGAAAAAGCAACAGAAAAGCAGCAGGACAGGAGCATATAACCAGGGACATTGGTAGGATCTGCAGAGGCGCAAGAGGGTGGCGGGCTGGGAGCCCAAGGACAGCATCAGTCTTAGCTGTGAGCAGCGCCCTGGAGGAATAAAGACAAAGCCCCCTCCAAAGCATATAGAGCTGGGACAGATCTCTAAAATAGCCACAGACACTCACCTGGGGGCTACGGCAGAGGGAGGGCAGACAGGGCTGGAACTATGTGGGGACACCCGGGATTTGGAGGGCACTCAGAGTTTTTGCTGAGTTGCGAACACAAAGAACAGTGGCCAGTGTGCTCCTTCCCAGAGCTGTGGGGAAAAGCAGCAGCCCCCCTTGGAGATTCAGACTTTCCTAGGTGAGGCAAAGAAATGCAAATTGAGGCTCATTAACAACCAGCATCTATCCCACCCTCTGGAAATCCTCTTATGCAGAACACCAGGGTTAAATGTGAAGGCACTGAGTAACTGAGAATAATAGCCTCCAGGAAAAAGCTAGAGGATAACTGAACCTTTCTTGGGCTTACAAATCTACCCAGGAAAGTAAGACTTGAAAGTGATGTTTAATGTGGGCCCATCCAGGCATATCCAGGCCCATCCAAACCCAGTAGAGGGAGCCACAAACAGCAGAACACCAACACCCACAGGGAAAATTTGGCAGACTCTGAAAACCACTTAGATAGCCAAAATGGTGAAACAAAGAAACAAATCCCAAATGAAAGAACAAGAGACCTCTATTAAAGATGTGATCAATGAAATGCAGTTAAGCAAATGATCAGAGGTAGAGTTCAGAGCCATGATCTTGAGGAAGCTCAACAGCATGAGTAAGACCATCAGCACCATGAGTAAAGATATAGAAACATTGAAAACCAACCAGGTGGAAATGAAGAATGATATAGCAGAAATAAAGAACATATTGGAAGGACTAATCAGCAGAGTAGAGGAAGCTGAGGACCAGATCAGTGAAATAGAAGACAGGGTGCGAAAAATCAACCAATCAGAACACCAAAAGGAAAAAACAATTAAAAAACAGGAAGATAGCTTAAGAGAACTGTGGGACAACTGGAAACGTAATAATGTTCGCATCATAAGAGTCCCCAAAGTGGAAGAAAATGGGCAAGGGTTAGAGAATATATTTGAAGAAATAGTGACAGAAAATTTCCTAACTTGGTGAAGAAAGAAGGCATTCAAGTTCAAGAAGCACAGAGAGCCCCCAGTAAGAAGAACCCAAACAGGCCCACACCAAGACACATAGTGATTAAAATGACAAAAATTAAAGACAAAGAGAGAATCCTAAAGGCAGCAAGACATAAGCAACAGGTAACCTACAAAGGAAACCCCATAAGGCTCTCAGCTGACTTCTCAACAGAAACACTACAGGCCAGAAGGTAGTGGCATGAAGTAATCAAGGTCATGAAAAACAAGGACCTGAATCCAAGACTACTCAATCCAGCAAGGCTTTCATTCAAAATAAAAGGTCAAATAAAGAGCTTCCCAGATAAAAAAAAAATGTTAAAGAAAAAAAAATATATATATATGTGTGTGCGCGCGCGCGTGCATGTGTGTGTATATAAATATATACAAATATATACAAATAAATAAATAAATATATATATATATATATATACATATAAATATATATATATATATAAAATCAACCAGGGCCGGGGACAAACTGCAACCAAGGTATGCGCCCTTAGTGGGAACCAAACCTGGGTCACTCTGGACCACAGGCCTATGCTCTAACCGCTGAGCCAAACCAGCCAGGGCTAAGGGAGTATATTGACACCAAACCAGCACTGCAAGATATGCTAAAAGGACTGCTGTAATTAGTAGAAGGAAAAGGAAGAAAAATAGAACCACACTAAACAAAAATGCCAATAAATAAGTACATATCGATTATCACCTTAAATCTGAATGGTTTGAATGCTCCGATAAAAAGAGACAGAGTAGCTGACTGGATAAGAAAAAAATGACTCACATATATGTTGTTTACAAGAGACCCACCACACAACAAAAGATACACATAAGTTGAAAGGGAAAGGATGGAAAAAAATCTTTAAGAAAATGGAAAGCAAAAAAAAGCTGGGGTAGCAATACTCATATCTCATAAAGTAGATTTCAAAATGAAGACAATAACCAGAGACAAAGAAGGCCACTCCATAATATTGAAAGAATCTATCCAACAGGAAGATATAACCTTGACAAATATATATGCACCCAATATAGGAGCACCTACATATATTAAAAATCTTCCAGAGGACTTCAAAGGAGAAATCAACAGCAATACAATCATAGCAGGGCACTTCAACACCCCACTGACATCACTGAATAGATCATCTAGATGAAAAATTAATAAGGAAACACAGACTCTAAATGAAGTGCTAGATCAAATGGATTTCATAAATATCTACAGAGAATTACACCCCAAAAATGCAGAATTCACATTCTTCTCAAGTGCACATGGGACATTCTCAAAGATAGACCACATGTTAGGGCACAAACTAAGTCTCTACAAGTTCAAGAAGACTAAAATCATATCAAGCACTTCTCACATCACAATGGCATTAAACTAGAAATCAATTGCAACAAGAACATGTGAAGACATTTGAAAACATGAAGGCTAAATAGCACATTATTGAAAAAAGAATGGGTTACTATGGAGATCCAGGAAGAAATTAAAAACTTCCTGGAAACCAATGAAAATGAACACACAACAACACAAAATCTATAACATACAGCGAAAGCAGGTCTGAGAGGGAAGTTCATAGCACTACAGGCCTACCTCAAGAAACAAGAAAAATTTCTAATAGACTATTTAACCTCACAACTTAAAGAACTAGAAAGCAAACAAAAAGAAAAC